AAAGAAACATGGATCGAAGGTAAAAGGGGGAAATATATACAAGTTTCTGAAGCAAACCCAATTTCCCTGGCCAAACTCTTGCCAGCCCTTTAAATCCAAAGGAAACTGGCTGGCGAACTGTTGTCTACTATATGGATGTCTTTTTAGGGAACCTGCTGGAAGCAATTCTGAAGCAACTGAAAAAGCAAATGAACCGAATGGGATTCCCGAAGAAAGGAAACCACGAGTTGGACGGTTTATATGATGGTCATTCCATTTCTCAGGGCGGCCTATCGAACCAGCCACGCGTCTGCGCGTCTGCTGCCAGGCGTCGTGCGCATCAACGCCATAGGGTCCAACTGCGTGACAAAGCTCACCACCTACGGAGGCTTGTCCCGAGGTGCCTTCGCATGCACCGAAAAACGAGGGCCCCCGCTGTTCTTTTTTCATGCCGCAAGAAAACAAGTTGAGAATGCTTGATACTTACCTGGACCCGAAGAAACTACCCATGAAAATGGTTGATGCTGCCCAAAAGATGGGTGGTTCCCTTTTAATCTATGGATAGCTTGAGGGTCCAGGCAAAATAAACAGTTTTGGAGACCCCCAGTTAGGCGATTTGGCATACAAAGTATCAAGGAACCCTCAACAAATTGGCTTCGGAGAGCTCAAGCTCCGGAATGGGGATACATGGTGGCGGAATTTGTTAGATCAGCGTAGTCGGCTAATATCATTCAGTTCACTGAGATTGCCCAGATTATTTAGACTTTTGGTTACATATGCTCATATGCTCCTTGCAACACGAGCTTCAGATAAGCCCGCTGCTGCAAAGCCGCGAGCTGGCACGGCGTCCTTTCCAAAAGACGCGGCGCAAAAAACAAGGCGCGTCAACATGTTGTCATTGAAGCTTTGACTTAGGCCACGCTCGCTCTACAGTCACTTTGCTGCCTGTCCTGTTTATGAAAACATGACACCTTTATTCTAATTTTGTTGATATGGTGACTTTGACATGGTGGTCGTTTCCAGCGACACATTTGTCAAGCGAATATGTTCGTAAAACATGGTCAAAGCTGCATTCAGCGGTAAGATATTGTGATTCTATATTCCAAGTCTGGACACCATAATAAACCCTGGCCTTCCACCCATGGGCGAGAATTGTTGTTCCTGATGGTAGCTGGTACCCTTTTCAGCTTAGTTTGAAGGGAAATCAAGCGGACTTCCATCTGCTTTGCGTACACATAATCTTGACCCGGCGGGTGTCTATCAATGAACATGGATTATGTCAAATTGTTGGCGGCCCCAAATTGGCTTTACTTTTCCTTTCGATTTCAAGTGCTACAGTATCCACCATGTTTCTGGGTATGAGGGTCGAAGTAGCCTTTTTGCCGAAAGTTCCCCCAACCCCAAGCTTTTTGGTGGAACCGGTCAAAAACAATTGACACGCTAATCCTTAACAGGCAAACCGGTTTCCCAACCAAGTAAACGGGGTCTTGCACATGGCACAGCCATCTGGGCAAATGGCTGTGGATCAAATTTGAAGGGCTAGGACAAACCGCAGGCGTTAATCACTCTTAGTCTTTGCTTCCATTTACCTTTGGGCGCCATGTTGGGTTTGGATCAAAATTCAACAGGAGAGCCAAACCGCAGGTTTTGGTCCATGTTTTCACTTGCCGGGGCTCCATTTTAGAATTCCGGTTTTTGGAGCCACAGTTATGTTGGTTCCCTCCCCAAGAGCTTGTTAAGGGCTTTTTTCAGAGCTTGTTTGGGCTCCCTCCCCCTGCCCCCATGAAGTTCGGTTCCCATGCGCCGCCCAAGCCCTGAAGCCTCGAACTCCTCAAAGCTTCCCATGGCTTCCCGCCAAACGGAGCGCGCCTGCGAGGCGCGAATCGAAGCGAAGGGAAGGGAGGTCCACCCCGTAAAACACGTGGAATTCGAAGCCCGAAACGACGCCTGGACCCTGAAACTGCCCGTAAAAATTGTTGACATTGTCCCAACATCCTGGGATGTTGCCAGATGATGGCCTTTTGGCTCAGGGTAGTTGGAGGGTTCAGGTAGTCGGCGCTCCGCTTCTGAGGGCCACGAACGACAGGAGCCGACTGGTCGGTACCGCCGGCTCAGGAGCCGCCGCGGTGAAGAAGCTCTTAAGGGCTAGGTCCGAGCGGATGAAAACAAGGCAAGAAGGCAAAAAAAACAGAAAACCTGTTCCGCCTCTGAGTCTTGATTTGGCCTGAAAGGCGGTTATGTCTCAGCAAAAGGGGAAACGAGGCAAAAGGGGGAAAAAACACCCTCCCCTTTTCCACATGACTGCCCAAACCTTCACCGTCCCAGTGGTTTGCTTACTAGGATCCCTGTTGCACTTCCTTAGACTCCCAATCACAATGCTTGAGAAACCTCCTCATCTCAAAAGCCAAAGAAGACATGGGCGTCAAATGGTAAAGGTACATCTGGGCCACAGTCACTATACAATCATATAATCAAATGATCGCATGCGGTTCGAACACTCTCCCAAATGACCGAGCCTCATATGACAGGCATGCGCTATCATCTTTCCGGCGCCTCCAACTACAATCCACAAACATATCCCAAGGAGACTCTGTTTAGATTTGCAACCAACGCGATGTTTAAAGCATGCAACAATCATAAACAGAAGAACCTAGAGATCCCAGCCCCGCTGAGTTTGGCTTTGGAGGCGGGAAGGTACTTGGACCGGCCTTGAAGCACAAAAAATGCTTCCCACCGCCCGCGGGCCTCCGCATGACCGAGGAGCAGCAGCAGCGCATGGCGACTTCCGCGCATGCGCTTTGGTTGTGACGGCACCCGCCCCTTTGGCCGTCCTGCACCCCAGGCGTACGGCTGCACCAGGGTTGGCCCGTGGGAGGAAAATCAGACGATCGAACCAACCCCGACAAATCCTCGAATCGTCCAATTGGAAACCCACGAAGGGCAATGGCTCTGCGCTTCTATCGGCAACTTCAGACAAAGCTGGGTTATAATCACCCTCATGCCATGCCTTGTGCAGCAATAGTAAGGCACATCAAAGTCGAATCCTTGTATCCCTAGGGGTATATATATATAGTGTATGCAGTCCCTAAGGTTGGCAAGCCATTGGTATATACCTGAGAACAGGAAGCCAAAGAAAACAACAGCCCTGGCACGAGTATCCCCAACATCAACGCCCTTCCCTGCCACTCCAAACTAATGACTTCTGGAACCTGGGCCTATCGACCCCAATGCTTTTCTCCTGGGAACAATTGAACAACCCTTGCCCTTTCCTGCCCAGCGGGTCTCCTGGAACCCTCTCTTTGACTGTTTTTACGTTGAGCTACGATCGAGGCGTTAAAACCAGGCAGCGAAGGCACCCAGTTGTGGCAGGGATTCGCCGTCATCTTCTGGGGTTTTGATTGGGGCTCAATTCCAGATTCCCGAAGTCCGCGAAAAATGTGAGGTACCTTTGAGACGCGTTGGGCGAAGATCTGGGCTGAAGCCACAAGGCTGCCGCAAGGCTCTCGCGCGATCGTGTGTTGTCAACACTTCCCGGGGTGGTGTTTTCTTTGTTTGCTCAGGAGTTCATACTTTGTTCAAAGAAATACATCTAAAACCCTAGGGTTGATGACCAGCCTACTGAACACAAGTAAACAAATGTGTTGACTGACCGTGGTGCCGCTTGCCAGTTTGTAGCCAAAGCTTAGAAGGAGTGTAAATCAGGCGTCAAACAGGGTAGGATACAATTATGGTTCAAACCACACAATCCACTAGACATCTGGGGTAAACAGAGAATTACAGTCACGTATACCATTAAATACAACATTTCACTTCCTGCTTGGATTGCTGCCGAACTTTTTGTTTACCACTATAATGGTCGTCCCAAAAGCTTAAAGTCCAGGAACTGAACTCCGTCCAGAAAGGATGGGATGTGTTCCTTTCATTGAGGGTAGATTGAGGGTCCAGGTATACTAGTTTTGGAGGACATCCCAAAGTTTCCTGAGGCCCGCGTACCCCACCCCATTTTACAGCATGCAAGATGCCCCAAAACAACTCACACAAGCACATAGGGCCCGATAGCCAAGCCACTGCGACATGAGCCACGGTCTCAACAACGTCTGCGGTAAATTTGGGGTTTTCCTGGGGCTTGCCCCCAGGCGGAATTTTCGTGAATCTCCGGGGCTTTCGTGTCGAAACTTGGCGAGTTTCCAGGGGTTTTCTTTGGGGAAATTTGGTGAGCCCCCCATGCGCCTACATGGATCTACATGGATCTACACGGATCTACATGGATCGGAGACAAATCTGGCATTCAGATCCCCCAAGCTTCCGACGAAACAATTAGGAAGTGAGTGAACCAACTTGTAGGGCTTCTAGACATTTAGCTAGCCACACCAACTGCAAATAAGTCATGTGGCGTGCTGCATGGGCCTTTGTTTGCCGCAGTATAGGACTTAACTAGTAATCTCACTTCCTGAGTGGATTGGCCAAAAAATGTCCAAACAATTCGTTCGCGACTAGAATCTAGTATGCAACCAAAAAGTGATTAATGTCCGAAACAAAACTCAGGGAGTGAGCCAAAAATGAGAGCCCCTTAACTTATAAAGTTACCATATTGGGGAAAACCAGGAGGGAATGGTTTGATTCTTGTTTCTGGTGGGGTGTAGGATTGGAACAAAAGGCTTGGCCTCATTGAACAAAAGGGGGGGTGCATTGAAGGGGCGACTCCAAGTGGCCTCGCATGTGCGACATTTCCTGAAAGGCTAGTGGGCAATGTGGGTTGGAGGTGTTCTGGCCGATTTTTTTCTCGAGAACCTGGGACCAAAGGCAGCTCCGTGGATAGGCCAAAGAAGGTCACCAAACTATTTGTTACCACTGACATTGTCCAAATCCAAACTCAACTGGGCTGTGATCAGATCCCCAACTAAACGCTAAAAGGCTAAAATGCCACCAGCAAGAAACGGATTCTTTGCCACATGGTCCGAATCCAAACCCAAGTGACCAATGTGCGCGCAGCTGGACGGAGATCGATTGAGGCACCGGGCGCCAGGTTCCCGGCATAGGAGGTGCTGGGGGACAGCCTCGTGGTCTTTGTCTTCTGTGATGCTTGGGGTTGTTTCAGAGGCAGCCCAATGAAGCCCTACGTTTGGGGGGTCCGTTGTTTTCCTTTTGTTGGGCTATGGCTTTGAGTCAGCGGGGGGTTGTCAACCTGAGAACCAAACCCATCCAATGGGAAAACATCGGCTTTGCTGGGCGCCGCTTCCCCAAGGAAGCAGCAAGGCCGTTGACACAACCTCCCTAGCTGATGACCAACCAAGGGACAACACCTGGGTTGAAAAAAAAACCGTGGACAACCCTTGTATCCTTATGCCCTAGCATCGGTCAGTATCGTTTTTTTCCTCTGCATCGGTTTGCAGTGTTTTGGCAGCTCTAGCTCGAAAGTCGTGACTTTCCGTACAAGTGTAGTCTGCGAAGTACACTCTGCCAGCTCCCAGCTCCAGCTGGAAAGTCGCAACTTTTCAGTACAAGTGTAGTACGCAAAGTACACTTTGGCAGCTCCATCTGGAAAGTCGCAACTTTTCAGTATGCGCAGTAGACTTTGGCAGCTCCGGCTCGAAAATCGCAGCTTTTCAGCGCAAGTAAGATTTTCAGTACAAATGTGGTGCACAAAGTGCATTTTGGCAGCTCCAGGGCAGGCTGCAGGGCAGCTGGTTGGATTCGGCGTGGCGGCCACTGAGTTGGGTATCGGTTGGGTATCGGTTTGGGTATCGGTTTGGGCCCTGCAAATTTATGATTCCGCGATCTTGGCTTGCGACGACAACTTGGACCTGATGTGTGTCTTCATGGCTTCTGGGGGTATCGGTTTTTCTTCCTCTGTATCGGTTTGCAATGGTTTTGGCCTGCGAAACAAGTTAAGGGACGGCCCCTTACATAACGAAAAGGCGCGGGGTATTTTTTTCAGCCCACCTGACCATTTGGGCATGTTTTTTTGGGGGGGACCCCAAGAATTGGTGGTTGTCCTCTTGGTTTCCCTTGAAACTAACAAAAAAAGAAGGTACCCTCAAAACAGACACGGCCATTTCTAGTTTCGCTCTTCCCCGACGAATCCTCCTGGGTGAAAAGGTCACCCTTCGAACACGCCAAAACCCAACATTGCTCGCTCGACCGGAGGTGTGCCGCACACCTGAGCCGTGCCAAGTACTCTTGTGTAAAAAGCGGTCCTATAAACTTGCTTTCGCGGACCCTTTGGCGATGCTTTCGCGACCCCATGTTTTGCTTTCGCGGGCTTTGGTTTCTTTAGAATTGCTTTCGCGACGCTTCCGCGGCGGACCGTCACACAGCATGTAGGCTTTCGCGGGTCTTTCGCGGCGGGACCTTCTTTGGTTACTTTCGCGATAAGCTTTCGCAAGCTTTCGCGGCCTGCGTTTTGGCTTTCGTGGGGATTCTATAGGACACCCCCCTTTACTACTTTGTATTGTCAGGGTTTTTGGCGCTGCTCACCTGGTGAGCCCATAAATCATGTCACATGTTCGCCAAAAGTCTTGGGCTTCCCTTTGGCTTCCCGTTAAAACAATCAGAACAGGGTACTCCAAAAACAGACAACCCTCTATCGCCTCTATGGTCCTTTAACCTCCCCATGTGCGTGTGTCACAAAAAATGGAGTCCCCCAAACATGGCTGGGTTTCCCTCAAACAAAAAACGCAGACACACACACACGTGTAAATATTTATGGGTGAGTTATTCTATTTCACCAGCCTGAAATAAGGTGGTTGGGGGGGGGGCCATTCCCCACCACCATGTGGGGTGAGGTCGTGTGAGGTCGTTATAATTCACCCAGATCTGGGTTTCCCTCAAACAAAAAAGCAAACACAAACGCAAAGGCACACACACACACACGTTACATATTTAGTCTAAGAGGTGAGCCCAAGCTTACAGCATCTTGCTGTATGTAGCTCCTGGGGTGCGCACCACAAGCTGCAGGCGAACATTCCGCAGCAAAGGCACGAGGAGATCTCGGCAGCGATCAGCGATGGAGTCTGCTCGTTTCAAGGAGCACCCGGTGGGTTCCATGTTGACGCAATAGACACAGACCCTTGGGACCGAAAGTGTGTGACCCCAAAGATGCAAGTACCTGGAGTCTCCTCTGACCCTATAAAAAAATGGCTGGTCAGGACCCCTTTCTTTTGGGTAATGACCAACCATTTTTCAAGGGTATGGAGACTCCAGGTAGATAACAAACTGGAGCTCAATTTGCTTGAGATCGATTCCACTGTTTCTGGGGCCCGAACCCGCCAAGCGACAGGAGTTTTAGGGGGTCCACAGAACCAGGGCGTGAGCTGGCAAAAGCAAAGGAACGAATTGGGGTCGAACGAGGTTTTCCCAGTGCACGAAACTCGTGCCATTCAATCCGCTTGCGATTTCTCACTTCCGTGGCCACACAAGTGTTCACAAACTCGTGACGTTTACCACACTCGCCTACCTGCATTTTAACGCGGAACCCAACAACCCGCCATATTTAGAGGAATCGCCTTTTTTGTCCAGACTTTGCGCGTTTGCCAACTGCCCTACAGCTTTGACATGGATCCCCAAATGCCCGACTTCTTTCGGGAAATGGACCCCTTTTTTGTTGGGTCCTTCCGTTCATTTGTAGGGGGAGTCAATGGTCCAAACCTGTGAATTTTCCATCGACCCCATTTCAAGGGCAAATTGGATCGACCTGGAGCCTCAAACTCTAACACCCCCAGAATTTTGGTGAGTGTGTTCCCTTTTGAGGGTCTTAATAAGCAATCCTCAAGCTAAGGATCTCACCAAGGACCTCAGCATGAGCTCGCCTTACATGCGTGAGCATCAAGAAATGTACTCCTTACATGCGTGAGCATCAAGAAATGTACTGTGCCTCGGTGGCCAACATGGATATGTTTTGAGGGTACCCTTTTCAACTACAATTTGTTGGGTTCCCCCACCCCCTATTTGTTTCACGGGGTTCCCGACATTTGCATTCATATGCTTGATTTTCCCACTAAAAATGGGGTCATTACTCAAAACAAAGGGCTCCTGATGCCATGTTTAAAGGGTCAGAAGGAGACTCCAGGTGTTGTTACCGACTCAGGCGTCTGCGAGGAGAGCACCGTAGCGTTCGCCTTGTGCCCACAGCACACCAAGACCTCGATGGGGAGCTTTTTCTCTCAGAGAAATCCCCTGACTTTTGCTTCCACAGTACATGCTTATAAAAGGGTGATTCTTGCTTCCTGAGTGGATTGGCCAAACAAAGTCGATCGTTTTCCGGGTTGCCACTAAAATGGTCTTCCCAAAAGTGTCGTCAAGTCCATGAACTCAGGGAGTTTTTGTTTTGTGCCTCTTGCTACAACCCACACAAAACAGGGAAGTAGCTGAAACCAAACAACTGTACGGGCCTGGGATTTCGGGGGATTACATCCCTAAAGCATCTCAAACAGAACCTGTTCCGGAAATCCTTGGACTCCGGCAACCCTCATGTCCTCCCCCCTCCAACCTGCAGCAACCCTGATAGAAACCCATTTGAGGGGTTTATTGATTGAAGGGCCCGAAACAACAAACAGTTGGACATTTGAAAATCCACCGCTTCCATTTGCTTTTTTGGCCCCTGGAAAAAGTCAGAATATGTATGTCTAGTGGTAAAATCGTTTCCCTTGAAAACCAACAAGGGAAGGTAACAAGCATTCATTTCCGCAAATGGAGGACTGAACGTGGCCTTAGGAAAAGCCCAAGCCTTTTCTCCTTGCAGGTTCGGGAACCCATCAAAAGACCGCGGAACACGGAAACTGCTTTATGCTAGCGCCCAACACCCATTGACTGTTGGTTGTACTAAGATGCTTGTAATTGGCTTATTTGGGCCTTACTATAATCCCTATTAAGTCAGGTAGAACCAGCGACTAACATGGCCAATGAGTGTTTTGGGCACTACTCATTGGGTTTTGTGTTGGGAACCGCCGAATCCACAAAGGTGCAACGTCTCCGGTGAAGCCGCTCGATTGGTTGCTTCCATTTGCTTAAGACCCCTGGGAAAAATGAAAAAATATGTCCAGTAGTGATAAATTGCTTTCATCACCAACAGGGGAAAACATGTATACATATATATATATATTATCATATATACATATCAAAAAAACATATTCATTTCAGCACATGGAAGTTTGGGTTTCGGGTTGCGCTGAGCGCTGCGCCCAGGCGAAACAGCAACTCCACCGCCGGCAGCAACGGCCTCGAGCGAGTTGCAAACCGAGACCGAGAGAGGTGTTTTTTTCAAGCGGCTCCGAGCGAGGTGGCTCTTCAAGCGACGCTGGAGACCCGGAAATCTTGCGAGCACGGAAAACCGGACCCTCAAACTTCCCAAAGAGAAAACCCATAACTTTGAGCCATAACCCATAGTTTTCAGGGTAGCTTTGAGCCACATCCAAAAAAAATATACCGTGGTTCACAATGGCTGGATGCTTGGTTATCCTTGGCTTATTGCGGGCAGCCAACGGCAAGTCAGATGCCGAACGTTGTCGCCATATTTTGAACGTTTGATCTTTTGAGGTTAGACATATTGTTACTCCCTTGGTGGGGACTCCCCTTTTGAAGGTTGACGAAATCTTTGAAGGCTGGTATAACCACTTTCAACGGTTCCTTTGGTTACCTACACTTCCATTTGCTCAAGGGAGTTCTACCCAGCAACCACATGTAATGTGATTCAGCATGTCGCCAAAGCAGGAAAAAGGGCTGAATTGTCAGCCAGTAACCTTCACATGTTTCATCTCCTTTCCACCCGTGCGGGGAATAGCAACAAATGGACTGTCTGCTTGCCTCGCCAGGCAAATGCCAGCAAGCAACACCGAAACAAACACAAGTGCCGTGCGAACCCGCTGATATCTAGAGGTGCGCATGCAGAGGATGTATGCAGCGGGGTTGCCCACTCGATAATGAGCCCACAAGTAAAAGCTGTTTATGGATCCTCTGAGGGCCACCTGAGATGTTAAAATAGAACCCTTCAAAACCCCACAAAGGGAAGCCTCAACAAGACACACCAACCTGAGCCAGGTCACAATATGCGGCATCCAGAAAAGGACATTGGACATTTAATGAGTCTCTTAAGGGATTGTGTGGACATTTAGTGAGTCCCCGGCCCCAATGTCCATCCCCAAAATAGACCTTGGGCTACTGGATGCTTTGACCGAACCTCATATCATGTGTCAAAAAATCACGAACCCCTCGAAATGGTGCTATTTGGTTTCGTCTCGCTTCGAACCGACCCGAAAAGGGAACCCTCAGAAAACAGAGAGACCCATTTTGGCAGCCGGAGCTCGGCATAGTGTTCCTTCCGGTTCGCTGCAACCAAAGGGTACCTGGACCCTCACGCTACCCTTAAAAAGGGACATCGCCAACCATTATTTTGAGCAATATCCCATTCTTACGGAGGGTAGTTGGAGAATCCAGGTAACATTCTGGTCTTTGCCCCTTTCGACGGGGACCGACACATGGTGGGTTCCATACGTGATGCAAACCATGTGCCTCGACACTTCGACCACGAAGCTGGAAGTCAGCCACCAGAAAACAGAGACCCCTTTGAAGCAATATCTTCCGTGTTTATGGGTAGCATCTTCGGATCCAGGTGATTACCCGCAGAAAACACAGACCTATAACCTCCATTTGCTTAAGGCCCCAGGAAAAAAACATGTGTCCAGTAGTGATAATGTCCCTTTAAACAACCAGAGAAAACAACACATATTCTGAAGCGCAAATGGAAGATAACCTTTCGACCCGTCGACATCCCCTCGATCTGGGCGCAACGAGCCAGCGCTGGCCGTCGAAGCAGAAGGCGAGCCAGGAGTTGGTGATCGGGCCCTGCCTCGAGACAACGGCGGAGATCCATGGGATTTGTGGCTCACATCAACGCAAATGGCACCAGGTGAATGGAACCGAAGACTAGCATTTTGGTAGTTGGTAGCCAAGGGAACCACCTGGACACGAAGAAGGGACCTTGGTTGAATACCTAGCCTCAAACAAGGGGGCATAATTGACTCCATCTTGTTTGGCCAAAATTTTATGTTTTTTGATGACTATTTTTTTCGGGTCCAGGTAGTTGGTAACCAAGAAAAAAACACCACCTGGTTACCCAAAGAAAAAAAAGGGCGAAAACCCATGGGTCGTTGCCAAGCAAAAAACTCTGGGCTGCAAATCTCGGCCCGGAGCTGAACTCCACGGGAGGGCTGTGGCGTAAAAATCCGTCGAAAGGCCTCCTATTCCGCTGCGTTTTTGGGATCCGGCTGCCGAAACTTTTTCTTCTCACTGGCCCAAAGGACCTGGACATTTTTCCCAACTGGAACCTTGACAAAAAAACACCTTGGGTCTTAAAATGGTGCTTTTAGTGCAGGACCTTGACTTTTGGTTCACCTTGGCACCCCCCCTAAAAACACAACAAAAACGGGACCAAAGGATTCCAGGATTCGCATGGACCGAAGAAAAGGGGAGGTTACCGACAAAAGGGACCCTCTGGGTCGGATGACCCACACCCTCGCTCGGCTGCTGTTGACTCCTCTGCTAAAAGTTTCAACTTGTTGTGGGTCCAATCCGGAAAATCCGGAAAAATCGAACAAACAACATGTGAAAGTCAAAAGATCCGTTCCCAGCCACAACATGGTTGACACTAAATTGGTCCCACCCCAAAAGTCACCACCCTCCAAAAAAAGAGAAACTCCGTTGCCCAAACGGGACTAAGCATGGAACGCTTCAGTCGGCTGTGCCTTTGGATGGCTCACTTGGCTGTCCAACCGCAACACCGCCGCGAGAAGCCGAGGCCAGGGCAGTTGGTCTACGCGGACACGCAGCGGCGTGGTCCAGTCATCCACGTGCAGCTGCATCTGGGAATGGACTTCTTATAGCGGCTACCTGGATCCTCAAACTACCCTGAAAAAATGGGCTGTTGCCCCGGAATTGTGAGTTTCAAGAATATGTTGAGGGTCCAGGCACACAAAGGCATCTGAAGAGAATGACGTTTTTTTTTGTTTTTTTTTTCCTTTTTTTCGGGGATTTAAGTGCCATTCCAAAATGCGCTGGATTGGATCTCCTTAACTTGCTCCCGTTTGATGGTTTCAAACGGATCACCCCGCTCAGTTGTCCAAAGCTAGACGGCACTAAGGATTCGAAGCAAGAATAAAAAGAGACTCTTTCATACGGGGGTTGATCAAGAGGTCCTTTACCATGGGACAACCACTGGGGAATAAGTTTGCCCATGACCATGGAACAACCAAAATGACGTTCACCACTAAATGGAAAGAGTTGCCCCTGGTCATTTTGGGGCCAGGAGTGTTGGATTGATCAAACCCCATGTGCTTTCTGGGCTTTAAGAAAACAGATCGTGCCAGGCCACTGGTGGCACTGGGATAGATGGCACGGGCCAGGAAACGGATCCAAGTCACCAGAAATGCCTTCTGGTGGGAAGGGTATCATCTCTTATAACCAGCAGGACCGAACATTACAGCCTTAAACCAGTGGCATTTTGGAGGGGGAAGCTGCCCAGTTGTGGTGGAGAAAGACCATGAACCACGTTTTTGCCAGTGGGTCCACCCAATTCGCGGCAACTGGAAGGACTGGGTTGGAGGAAGTCAACACTGGGGGTGCTTCGGATTTAGAAGTCCAAACATTCTGAAACAAATAGAGGAATCCACAAAACTAGCAATCCGAAAAAATACAGGAATCCAACATAAAGGAGTCAAACAACATAGAGAATTCCTAAAACTAGAGGAATCCAAACATCCTGACACTTCTGTGTTAAAACCTCCACTGGACGCTTCTCCTTCCAAAACCCCTTGATGCGACTCGAGCGAGCGTCCCATGAGCGCCTCGTGGTGAAAATGTGCCAAGCTCTTGGGGCCGAAGAGCGCCTTCAGCCAGTGCCTCCGAGTGGGGACACCTGGAGTCTCCTTCTGACCCTAAAATGGGGTCATGACCCCTGTCTGTTGGGAAATGACCCCATGTTTTAGGCTTATGGGGACTCCAGGCAGGTATTTTCACTCCCGGTCTTACATGGCTGTGTGTCAAGAATAGGGTAACCCCAAAATGGGTTGCCCTGGTAAATGGAAATATGGACGAAACCAGCGGTCCCCTGGTTCAATTTTGAGTCCCAATCACATGGTGCGTCCTCTTGCCTGACAATGGTAAGTGAGGCACTGAATCGAGGCACAGCCAGAAAGGGCCCCTGCCCAGAAAGTCCAGGAGCTTGTTGTTTTTTTCGCTAGAACGGTCCAAGCTCAAAAAAATAATGTTCTTAACAAAAACGGGCAACACCATGTTGTCTTTCTTTTTGGGGGGCCCAACGAAAGACGAGCCACCCACGTTCTCTCTGTTGGACCACCAAACTCCTTGACAAGCATGAATGTATTTTGGACACTCATCCGCGTGCCGAATGTGCACAGGTCGTGAAGTTTTGCTTGTTGCACCTGGCGGCGCCATAGCCCGTGGCAAAGATTTGGTAGTGTACCCACAATTGTGGAACTTTCAACCGCACAGACCTGGACATGATGGGGTGATCGCGGTTGAAAGTTGAACAAAATGGGTGATCCGTTGGCGTCGCTCTTCCTGAGGCGCCAGCAACTCGCTGTAGAACCCCACCTGCAACACATAGCCGCGGATTGTTGCTGCTGTTGCAAAATGGGTATGTGCCAACATAGGCGGGCACTAAAAATGATGGCTTTGCCCTTGGTTCCCTATGAGCCACCCAAAAAGGGTACCCTCCCTAAATTACCCCAAATGTGCTTCTTGGCAAAACCTACATACTTCGAACGGGGTTACGTGGAATTTGTTCAAACCAAATTGAGTCAGGATTGGAGAAAGATCTGGGCTGTTCGTTTTCTGATCCCCCGCTAAAAGAGCTTAACTTTTAGTGGGCTAAATACGGAAACCCAACCACTAAAACAACTGGAGACATAAAATCCTAATGGCATGGATGAGAAGCACCAAGTTTCTTCAGCCCCACAAAGCACCCATCCCCAGTCTAAGCTAAGGAACCGGATGGCTGGGAGCCGCCTTACGCCCGCAAGCCGAGAGCTTCGGAGCCGAAGCATCCACGGGGTTTGCCGCGCCTGCGCCGTGTCAAGGCCGGCCCATAGCTGGCTCGGCACCACAGTGGTCAGCACCTGCCAAGGGGTTCACTGCAAAAGGAAATTGAGGGACACCTGAAAGTTGAGGCAGGGAACCTTGAGAAGGAAACCTGGCTATTTGGAGAGGGTTGTAAGAGGTTCATTGCGTATTTGTTGAGGTGTGGCAACCTTCTAGCTATCGCAGAGCAACCTTCTAGCTATCGCAGAGCGAAGGAACAAGAAAGCCAGAAATGCGATTGTAATAACCTACAGGAGGTCACAAAAAGCTCCCCAAAATGGCATTATCTTTCGATCAACCCTCGTGTGCATCTAACTCGAAACAGCGACCCGTGCTTGGGAACCAAGCACCCAACACCGATAACACATCTGCAAAACTGATAGGGGACCACCCAAAACCGTTACCTTATATTACTGCGGCAGCAACTTTCATGGGGCCAAAATATCAAATTCAAGGAGATGAGATGATGGTCTCAAGGACCTTCATTATGAGACTAAATCGCGTCATGATTTGGGCAGATGCCAGGGTTGGACCACCTCATTGACTAAACATGTTGACAGATATGTTGCTTAAACAACCTCCTCAGGGCTTCCCTTCCGTTAAAGGTGACCAACGGCCGGTTGTTGAAGCACTCGGTGTCGCCCTGCGCATGGCAAACATGCACGCGCCTGAACGTCTACTTCTTTGTCAGGTTGAACCTGCGCCTGGGCCATAGGTACCACGAAATGAATGGCTCACCTTTGAATTCCCTGGATGCATCGACCACAAGGAAACCCTCCAAAACACGAGACACAATCGCGCACACACACACACACACTTGAACTATAATATACACATCATATCATGTTCATGTTAATGTCTCAAATCAGGGGAGCCACTTTTTGAAAGGTGCTTGTAGGGAAGCCGACGGGAACCAAACCATGCGTCTGCGATTGCCGGACACATTTCTGCGAAGGGTAGCAAAGGCTGCACTGCCAAAGCGGGAGGTTGCAGCTTCGGCCTGCTTGCTGTCTCACACCAGTGAACACCTCAGGCCAAAAATAAATTGCGCTGCGGGTGACCTCTTTGGGCAACTCCACTTTCATCCCCAACAAGGTCACTGATTAGCTGCAGCTGCAAGCAAACAACCTCAAATCTTCAAATCCTCTTCTGTTAAAGGCACTAGATGTTGGTTGGCATGGTGACTTGCCCGAGCCGTCGACTGTTGGCTGGAGCTTGCAGCTTCTCGCTTTTGACTTGCTTGCCAAGGCTGGACTATTTTGGCCACGTGGCTAGTTGACTTGGGCTCTTCGTCAGGTCGTTGCATCCATCGGGAAACAGGGACCTGCTGGTTCTTTCAACCCATCTGCGTTTAGGGCTCGACCAAAAGGTAGCATGGGTTGCGCGGATGTCAAACAAATCCCCGGTTCTTCCAGTTCTCACTATACTAGGTAACCAGGGGAAACCATGATGTAAAACTAGAGCTAACCATACCTATACTTACCCAGTACAGTGGCTTGCCTGGGGGTTCAGAGACCCAAAAGTCCTCTTCAAATAGCGTTTTTTCGGGTTCCGCGTTAATCCGAAGAAGAATATATCTGCACGCTTTCAGCTTAAGCGGGCACCAAAAAACGTTCAGTCCAGTTGTGGCTTTCGCTCCTGCCCAGCGTCGGGTTCTGAGGCGCAGACGTAGTCGTCAGAAATGCGGGCACCCTGCACAGGCGACCCTGACGGGGTGATTGGGAAAACAAAAAGGGATCCCGTGCAATCCTGCAACGTCAATCCCCCACAATGTCACCCTATTGAAAGGGGTCCCTTCACAGGGTGATGGTATACCCCCTTTCAAACATCAAAGGCAACTTGAACAACGTTGGTGATCTGTGTTGGGCTCTCTTAAAAAAGGCACCCCCCAACAAATGGTGTTGTTCCTTTTGTTTGTTCCTTGAGCACCACAAAGCGCATGCAAAACCAATCCGAAAAGAAAGGAGACACCCGTTTAGGACCATCCCAAAGTGGATACAAGTCGGCGCCCCCCCCCCCCCAGACCCTGGTGGCCGGCGGCGCCTTGAACCCGGGCCCCTCCGCCTCTCCTTCCGTCAGGATGCTTTGGACCATTTGTCAGGATGAAGGGTCTGAGAGGGCCTAGAAATAAAAGGTTGAGCTTTTGGAACCTTCACTCAACATGGACCTGAACCGAAAACGGGAAACCAAAAGGTTGGATCTGATGGATTCGCTGTGATTTCAAGTCAGTGTCACCCAACCGAAGTCCGACTCTTAAAATTCACAGCCCTGGCCCACCGCCAAAGGTCTTGCCAGCAACTCACCCGGTTTAGGGTCTCCGAACTGTAAAACGTGGCAATTGGCAGGGTGGCAACCAACTGTGTAAACATCCTCCTGTCAGCCTCCCTTTCGAAGCCGAACAGTTGCCCTGCATATTGCAGGCAGGAAGCCCGCGAACAATTCCGCCCTCAAACTACCCTTATAAAGAGACACCACCCTATTATGTTGGGGCAATCTCCCAATTTTTTAGATAGTTCACTGTACCAGGGGCTTGACTTTTTCAGCCGGCCCGATCGAACGCTGAAGTCCTCGTAGCAGCTCTTGGCCCTCCGAATCCTCCGCCAGATTCGGGCGGAACCGGGAGTTTTCGTATTCTCACCCCCTGAGTGGATTGGCCAAACAAATGTAAGCGAACTTTCTCTACCACGGAAATGGTACTCCCAAAACGTTTGGAGTCCACTCAGCCGATTGGGCAAAACATGTAAACCACTTTTTGTGTAGCAGAATGGCCCAGACCCCAAAAGTGGCGATCAAGTCCGGAACGGACCTCCCGGAGTGAAAATTCCAGCTACCCGCGCTCCCTTCTATCCAATAGGGTCCACAAGGCCTGGGCCTGTGTTTCAATTCGGAGACCCAGAACCAAAGTGGACGGGTTCCTTTGGGTTTGCCTTTCTTCCATGTGCTGAAGCTGCCTTTCCAGTGAAATTGATTCCATTTGAAGCAACTTCCTGGAGAATTTCCTTGGAGGGACCTTATGGGTGAGGGTGCACACCTGCGCAGAACATAACTTTCATCGCGAGAGCAGCTGCTCAAAGCTGTCACGCTGTGTCGGACACGTGTATCACGAGTAGCATGTATAATGCAACAGTCAATGCAACAGCCGTGTGTGTAAACAATGTATGGGTATATGCATGTGCAATATATATATATATATATACATGTTAACAATATCAATGTATCAACATGTCCAGCTATCGATCGATTGATCGATCCATCCAATTTAACCCAATCCAATCCCTCCCACCAACTAAGATGGAAGTGCAAAAAGGCCCTTTCCAAGAGGAAAGTCGTCTTTCTACAGGGGTCTGTGAACCAAACCATGTTAGCTGGTGGGAGGGTACATAGACGCATGTACAACATGATGTCCCGGCCCCATGGCTTGTGGAACTCGCTCCGGCCTCGTCCTCCTCAATGGCCAACTTCCTTCGCTTCGACATGGAACCCGAGTCCGCTCCTTTAAAGGGGCCAGTCGAAGGGTACCTGGACCCTCAAGCTGCTCATATAAACCCAAAAATGCGTGGCTTCCCCTTTTTAAGGATAGTTTGAGGGTCCAGGCATCTATAATACGCTACATGCTCTTTTAGATATGCAAACGGGTGTTTTAGACCCTTGCTCTAGATGTACCTCTGCATCAGAACGTTAGATTTTGTGTCCCAGGCCCCAGGGGGTCAAAGTACATCGCAAGGTACCCTTGGTGCCTTGCGAAATTGAGACGGTTTGCAAGCGAATCCGAAGATCCACCTCAGGATAGTGAAAGACTATCTGGGCCCGAAGAAACTACCCATAAACATGCGGGGAGAATCGGAGGAAGGGTGCCCCAACATGATGTTTTTCTTGTTTTTAGAATTTTGAGGGGTTGAGGGGAACCCGTTTAACGGAAATAGTTTTCCAGGACCCCCTGTGAGGTTCAGTGTTTGTGGTGGGAGGGTAACCACATTTCATGGTAAAAGAGACCCCTTTTGTCCCACGAAGAGGGGGACCCCCTTTACTGGGGTTCCCCAGTATGGACACTTGGGGTCTACAACCACCTTCTTGAGGGCATTGTCCTTCTATCTTCTTCGGGTCTGGGCTCGCAACATATCCGCCCCAAACTTTGGTTGTTGCAAATCAGACCCTAATAGGTCCATGGGATACCTGGAACAACTTGCCCTTAAACAAATGCTCCAAAATTTACGGGGTACAATCCCCAGGGTCCAGGAACCCCTCTGCACGACTTGGGGGGGGGAGGGCTGGGGATCGATTTGCAAATCGAACCCAAGCCGCTCCTGCCGGCATTGCGAGGCACCTGCGGCGCGGAGTTCAGGCTGACTGTTCAGGGACTGGACATGGGGGGTTTCCTCAGAAAAGCCCAATGGGCCGACTACCAAATTCGTCTCATCTACCCCAGCCCTTTACTCTCTCTAAGAACCCTTTAGTAGACACACCGTTCGGGTAAAAACACTCACGGACTCTGTCCCTTCATTTTGTCGGAAATTGAAGGTTAACCTTTTGGAACCTTGACGAAAGTAGACCAACAGCGGACAAGGTCAAAAAGTCGATGCGCTTTTAACAAGTGAGTTTGCACAAAACAAGCTTCCCAAAGATTCAATTATTATGCGGTACAGTACCATGCGCTTCCACTTACCATTCTAGAAGATAAGGAAGCCATCATGCAAAAAAAGTAATTGGTTGCCTACTAGAGTGATAACTGGAAGCACCGGAGTAGGTGACCAAGGGAACCTCCCTTCAACATCTGAGACAACAAAGCTTACCTATATGTGGCAAACGGAATCCGCTCTGGCTAGATGCTTGGTTGGTCGATTCCACGTCCCAAACCCGACAAGTGGATTTGACATCGGTTCCCCTCAACTACCGGGGAAAAAAAACTAACAAAACACACACACATGGACTAAATATAAAACACTTAAAAACTCGTGATTCGCATGATCTCCACTATGAACAACAGCCAAAGTCAACACAGCGGGCACGCAGCTCTGCAGAAAACCTGACCCTCAAACGCATGTCGCCACGAGGCGATACATTGCGAGTCAACTTTGCATCGGTTGCAGAACGTTTGGCAGCCCGCGCATGGCTTGAGTGTTGGCCTGTGTCGCTTGCATGTCGTTTGCATGTCGCCCCGTATCGCCTGCGCGTTGCTTGCCTTTCGCCTGCGTGTTGACTGTTGCCCCATGTCGCCCGCCCGAAGTGCACTTCGGCTGCAGAATGCATGTCGCTTCCACATCGCGTGCATGTCACTCCGTGCTGCTTGCGTGGCGCCCGTGTGACGTGCGATTTCCGGTATGGAGTTGCCCTGTGTCGCTTGCGCGTCAGTTCGTGTTGCCTGCGTCCCTTTCCGTGTCGCCCCGCGTGGCTCCGTGTCGCGTTGTCCTATGTTGCTTTATACCACGTACAGAAATGGCCTTGGGTCAAACATTTTCCACCAGGGTCTCGCCAGGGTTCCATTTTGGGGTTACCCTATTCTTGGCCCATGTTTTAGGCGCCCTACCAGGTGCTTGACCAAATTCAGACGTCTTCAGGAGGCAACTATGCCGGACAGTCCTTAAGCTCAGAAAACTGGGAAAGTGGACAGTGGGGGCGAGCACAGCCGCTCACAGTTCTCGCAGAAGTGATCGTAGTTTGACAGCACTTTCACACAACTGAAAACAAGGGTCGCTGGGCGTGCTGGTAAATGCAAGTAAAAGGGGTCAATGTTAACCCCGGACTAATAAATCCCCCGTTTCGGCACGCTATTAATCGACCAGGTTATTTATCCCGCGGTTTCCCTTCACCAACCAACCTTCTCACTTCCTGAGTAGATCGGCCCAAAAAAGTCCAACATCTTAGTTTACCACCAAAAATGGTCCAACCCCGAAAAGTGAAAGTCTCCGGGAGTGAGCCTTAGGATCAAACTTCGGCCCGCTGAACATCCCCTCTGCCCGACGCTCTTTTTCTGAGCGCTTTGCCAAGCGCACCGGCACCACATCTGCCACCGTGGCCGCCCAGCGCAGCGGAAGAAGCGAGGCCTAGGCCGGCGGCCGAGGAAGATGGCCGAAACAACAACACATCCTCTTCCATGCGCTTTTTCGCACCAGGAAAAACAAACACCATGTCCAGTAGCGAAATCGATTCAATTGAAAACCAACAAGGAACAAATAGCACATGTTCTTCAGCAAATGGAAGTCCTGGCGGGCGTAGTCTTGCTTTGAAGAGGGATGAGGAAGCCTTTTTGAGGTTGTTTGTTGTGTTTCCGGAGGAACAAAATCCACGCCGTACCAGCTGGAAGGGATGATACCCTGGGACCTTTGAACACCTACCGATGGCCAATTGGTGCAAAGTGGACTTCTCCATCCACAGAGTGCTTTCTCGTCGGTGAAGGAGCATACTAGTGGAAAACCACATACCCTTTCTCCAAGGATCCAAAGACGATGTACTGAAAAAGGATTCCAACTAAGTTGGAACTTTGAAAAACAGTCTCTGGACGGGAGTGAAAGCTCTTGACTGACAGCTTCGAGTTCCACGAAGAAGGAAACCGGACTCAGCTTTTCGACGGCCAACCGGGCGGCCTGAAACGGACCCCGGCCGAACCTGGCAAGCTGGGCCCGCCGGGGACGCCGTTGGTCTCGTTGCCCCCCAAAAACGCCCCCAGGCGATTCCTTCCGGAAGCTCCGCGGCTGGCTTCCGGCTTGGCTTCGAGAAGCGTCCGGCTGTTCGTCTGAGGGAGTGCACTTGCCCAAAGGACATGTATCTCAGTTGTTCAGTTGACCCTGGAAGAAAAAGGGAACCCTTTTTGGGGAAGACCATTTTTAGTGGGGCAGCACCCCAAAAAAAGGGAAAAAGGGTGCCACTGAACAACTGAGGTATAACAAAACAGATCACCTTCTTGGGGCTCGGCGCCGAGCAACGCCAAGGCTCCGGCGCAGCACCGCCAAGAGGCCTCGTGGATGCGCGAGGTGAGCTGGTCACAGCGGGTGTCGCCTCAGCGATGGCTAGCGGTTCGATTTGGGGTCGATTCGGGGGTTGGTGCGTCTCAAAATTTGGGGAGCCCCGAAATGGCGAGTTTTGTTGGGTGGCCATTCCAAGAATGGACGACCTGGACCCTCAAAATACCCAAACCCCCCAAAAACAGCAACCATAATCTTGGGTTGCTATGTCAACCAGTTTTATGGCGTTTGAGGCTCCGGATACCTTAGAAAACGCCACATCCATGTTGTCAAATACCTGTCCCCTTCGACATCACCTCTTCAAAGAGAAACTCACTTCAAAGAGTGATGTTGGCCCGATGTGTGATGTCAAATTAAGCAGTGGAGCCCCGGAATAAGTGGTTTCCAAGTTTCGATATTAAAGCCACAAACGGGCACCCTCCAAAAAACACCCACCCACATATTTAAGGACTCCCGTTTCCACTACTCGCATTTGTTTGCCTCTGAGACCGGAGCAGTACCGGCCAAAGTCCTGCTGCCGCTTTAGACTGCCAGTGTCCTGCGCGACGTGTCTGGGTCCCAGCGCTGTTGTTTGTGAACCAAACTGAGTTGCTGCAACGACCCCTCCGCAAGAGGCTCATCTGTTTGCTGTTTGTCGAATAGCAAACCCTTGATTTCAACCAAACAGTTTGAGTCTGAAGATGCAACACAGTAGCAATCAAGCAGGAAGGCAACACACTGCACTCTGTTTTGTGCTTCCAACAAAAACGGGAGCGTCAAAAGAAGGGGCCAGTTTTCAGGCTTGCCCCTTTCCAGACAAAGGGGGAGGCTGTTTTAGGGTGTCCAGATTGCAAACTGACCGTTTGTTGGTTTCCAGCCAAAGCCAACAAAGGGTCATCGGAACCACCCTTTAGTGTTCCCCCAACGAAAACAAAGACCCCAATCAAGAGCACTTCTTGTTCAGCAGATGCGGCTCGGGCATCCACAGGACAATGATGGGAACTCGGATGAATAAACCCCTGGCTGGAGTCTCCATGGCCCTTAAAAAATGGGGTCATTACCGAAATCATGGGGTCAATACCCAAACATAATTGGGTCATTACCCCAAAGTAACGGGGTCATGGACCTATTCGCTCAGAAGGAGACTCCAGGTGGTTGGTGAATGGGGGGGGCCCTCTTCATCCCCATCGCCCTCAACTCGATGCCAGCTCTCCGCCTCGGGCATCCACAGGATGTCGTGGCGCACAGTGGCTCTGAGCACTTGGCACAGCGCCAGAAACCCACCGAGGCAGCTGGCCGCAAGCCTGCGGAAAAGAAGCGAGCGAGCGAGCGAGCGAAACATCCAGAAGGCGCCCGCCCGTAGGGAGAAATGCGCCCGGGGGTGGGGGCGGGGGGTGAAACCAAATGACCACTCTCCAAAGGAAACTCGGGGGTAGGGGGTGGGGGCAGGAGCGGGGTGGGAGTAGAACCAAACCACAGCCGCTTTTCAATTCAACATGGTGTGTGTATAGAACCATATGCCAATTTGGAGCTGGGAGAGCCAAACGGGACTGGGACCCTGTTGTAAACATGGCGAGTGGTTTAGATAACCTCGATGCATTGTTCCCGTTTACAGGCGGATTCTGGTTCTGGTTGGTCAATCAAAAGTTGCCCAATCCTGCCACAAGAAGAAAACAAAACAGTTCCATGCATTCAAGCTCATTTTTGCCGGTGGGTTGTGGACGTTGTGACGGATACATACCACTTCTGGTATTCATGGTGAGTGACGTTGGCTCGGCGTGGAGGTGTTCCACTACGTACACCGCCTATATAAACACACAGCCTCCCAACAGCCAGCCACCTGAACTTACACTTAGGTCTTGTTCGGACCAAACGAAGACCGTCCCCCAGGCAACAACTTGACCATAACAACCGTTTGTACGTCAGAACTCGTGTTGGTTGCCCCTTGCCACAAACAGGTGACAAAGCACATGTGAAACAAGTAACTAGTAAACAGCACAACGATGCTGCTCACCTCCTGTGCCAGAATAAGTCCAGGAACTGTTTGGTTACCACTAAAATGATCCAACCCAACAAAAACAGAAAGCCCGTGTTCCCGAAGTGAGAACAACACCCCACTTCCGAAAGGACACATCAAGCCCCAGAAAGGTGTGCACACCGCCCATATTTTTATCTGCTTGCCCGCTTGCTGGATGCGAGAAAAAAACCGCGGTGAAGCCCTACGAAATCAAGTTGTGGGGGGTTGTTGGGTCGGTTACACCCCTGGAAAAGTCCACAATGTGTAACCGACCCAACAAAGTCCATTTCAGGACAAAGTCGGTTACACCCCTTTGAGGCTGATTGTTGGGGGCTGATTGTGTCTTGCCCTTTCAGAAGTCCCTTTCAAAGCCCACGATATCAGCCTCCGTTTTTAGGCGATCTGGCCTGGTGTTTGGAGGGGATGGCTTCCCATTTACACACAAGAACCAGAGGTTCAAACCCCACCAATCCAAGCCACCAACTAGGGCTTACCTGACACAATACCCTGAAAACACACCTGGACCCTCAAACCATTAAACAGGGATAAGCCAAACCATCTATTTGTGGCAATGACGGGAACCTCGGATTGATAAACCTCTGGTTGATGAAAAGGGGGGGTCCCAATTCATCACTTTTGGAGGGACTTGAACATTTAAAGGTAGTTTCTTGGGTCTTCCCAAATCCTCTGCTAAAAGTCCAACCGTTCCTGGTTTGGAAACTAAACCCCTAAATCCTGAAACCACAATTTGAGGGTCCCGGCACCCTGAGGTCTTGGGGTTCACATCCCCGTCTGCCCCAACAAAAGCGTCCGACGCACGCGTCTTTGCCGGGCTGCAGCACGGCCGCCAGCGCCGGCAAGGATGCGTCGGAGCGGGCCACCTGTTCGTCGACTTCAAACCGCCGCTTTTGGGGGGGAGGGATGGGGTGGAGGTTATAGCTGCTGGGGACATCACTTAGAAACGAAACAAGTACCTGCTGGCAAAAGAAAATCCCCAAAACCGTTCTAAGTGTGTGTCCGTCACTGTAATGCGGGTGTGTCTTTATTTGACGCTACTTTTTTTGTGGTTTTGAAAGGCAAACCTAAAGACAAACATCCTTTTGAGGGTCCCTTTCAAAAATATATGACTATCGCACAGGACCAGTTGAAACCAACTTGCAACCCTTCTATCATGCCACAATGAGATTCCACATCCCCACTGTTAAAGATGTCCTTCACATCTGCGGACGCCCCTCCTGGTGTCTGAGTGCTTTCAAAGCCCACTCAGGAATCCAATCACATGCCCTATCTTGGGCCCAAGACCACTTTGTCGGGGATCCAAGACCCGATCCTTCAGCTATGGCTCTCAGATCGAGCGGACTGGCCAAGTAGCCAAACATCGCCAAACTGTTTGTTTGCCACCAGAATGGTCCAACCCCAAGTGTTTGAAGGTCCAACTTGCGTCACGCGCCCTTCTTTTGACCCACGCAGCTTCGACCTCCGCGGTCCGCGGACTTCGCTTCCGAAGTCGGGGTGAGGAGACGCGCGCGCGCTGACGCTCAGCGCGCGGGAGCGCGCGGGGACTTGAACACCGCAGCCCTCATTGCCCTCACGCTGACCTTTTTGCTTCTCGAACCGCCTCAGAAACGGCCCTGCAAGAGGTGCTCTGCTAAAAAGGGTTGGCAGGGGGTCCTGAAAACATGAGAAACACAAAAACTAACCATGTGCTTCTTGTTGTGCTTCTGCGAGGAACCAACTGTATTACAGTAGCTGTTTTGCACAAAGACAAGCAAGAAAAGATTGCGGGTGTCAACATGGCCCATGTAAACACGAAAACCAGCGAGCGCCCCACTTGGGCTCGCCATCCGCATTTAAGGCAACCCCGAACATGGAGCAATATGGAGCCATCAAAATCGGAACAGCAAATCGAAGAATTCACATGAGCCACAGTCGATATTAGACCCTCAAAGTTCCATTACAAGTGGCATTTCAGCCCGGAATTGTTGGGGCAAGATTCTTGCCCCAACAATTATGGGCTGAAATCCCGCTTGAGCCTTTTTTAAGGGTAGTTCCTTCGGGTCCAGGTACGCGTAGCTTTGGCGAGCAATGTCCGGTGTTCTAATGGCCATGCTGTGCATGTGACCCATGTCTTCCGCTTCACTACAACAAATGCCAAAGTATTTGGGGGGGTCCAAAAATGAAGGACCGCAACCAAAAGGAGGGTCACTGATTTTTGCAAACACCCAGAATACGAGTGCACCTTAAAATGGGTTCGAAATCAGGTTCCAGGTGACCTACGGGAAGCCGGTTGTCCCCACGGTTTGGAAAAAACATGGGATGTCCTCCCAAGACCAACAGTAGACCCGGACTTTTCTCACACGAAACTCCTGAGGGCATGGTCATGGTTTCCTTACAAACCTGTCCAGTGGTTGTCCCAAACAAAAAACAAATGTCAAGTCCTAGTCCTTAGATTCCGAAAACCGTCCAGTGGTGTTGTCCGAATTATAATACATATTTGTCCGAATCACCACTACCAACCCAACCCCCCGAATGGGGGGGAGTGGTTTGACCCTTGTCGCATCCTTCGCTCGCTTGCCGAGCCACTCGAGGGACCGGAGTTCTTGTGCTCGTCTCGGTGTCTCAAATCTCATCGAGCATGGCGTAGCCTGTCGGCAGGAGACGGGGCGTGTGAACAACCAAGCCGTGGCACAGGGAGGGATGGGGAGGGATGGGGAGGGAGGGGGAAGGGAGGGAGGGATGGGGCTGCATAAGAGTTAATTTGGGCCTGGTCACTGGACAGGCACATCCCCGAACGCGATTTGGAAAGCGATCCCGCGAGCCTCGGTATTTCTGCGCCAGGCACCGCAAACCCACATAGCCCAGTACCGTCAAGCCCTAGGGATCGGCGAGGCGTTTTGACGTGTTGGCGTGCTGCAAAAGCGGCGTGCGTTTGAGAAATACATGGCGGTGCGCCGGTGGGCTCAAACAAAACATGGGGTAATCCCCAAATGGGTTACCTGATAAATGGAACCAAGCCCTAAGACCTGCGGTCCCTTGGTGATTTTTGTTTGACCCATAACATCAAAAAAAACAAAACTGACACTTGTGCCATCTGCTCGTTCGACAAAAACCTGACCGCTGTGCTTCGTTTGCCTTTGCGGTGGTCAAGGTTTCCCAGTTCTTCCAACTGCAAAACATGTCAATGCGTGTTTGGCCTTCTTGAAGGGACATCAACCATGGTGCATGAACACTTGGCGCCCAACTTGCTCCTGGCATGTCAAACTCAGCACTAACCCATCGCCATGCACACTTTTGATTTAGGGAGCGGTGCTCGTCCCCAATGTTGCTTTGGGGGAAGGATGTCATTCCCATGTTCCCCCCGACTGAAAAGAAAGCAATCAACTTTCTTTCAGTTAAAAGGAGAAGCAACCTCGGCCTACAAAGAGTGCAAGGCTTCTTTGGGTGGATTTGCTTGATGTGGGGCCAAAGACCTTCCTGGACCTTCAAACTACACTTAAACATGGGTTATTTGCAACAACACCTGCGTCTCAGTTCCAAGCCAATCGTAATTGGCGAGAGGGTATTTCGGTACTTTACTGAAGTGAGGACAAGTCGAAGAACGAAGCAAATTCCACGTTCGTAACCAATTTTGAGGGTCCAGGTACCCTGCAAGAATGCGTTATGGCCCCCACATTTTGGTTGGTGACTTACCTTTTTTGAGGGGAATTCTGTGAGGGTCCCCGTGTTTTGGTTTGCGGTGCCGAAGGCCCTCTTTCAATAAAGGGTCCAAGGCGCCAGGCGCACGTGGAGAACCTGGGTGGCCTTCAAGTTCCTGGTCGTGATTTAATGAGCCCCCTGTTCCAAACAAAAAGGTACCTGGACCCTCAAGCGAGCCTCAAAGGTATCCGAGGGCTGCGAGATTTTTGGGATGTGTTTTTTTTGGTTCGGAACCTCTTCCAAAATGGTTGGTGCCTGGACCCTGAAACGGCCCTGAAATTGGAAATCACCGCTTTATTTTAGGGAAATGGTCCCTTGGTACCTGCTAAGGACGTACCTGAAGTCCCAAGACCTCATTTGGGGCCGTTGGTGCCTTTGCCCACCCGAAGGGCGGTTTTCAGCGATTTGTGACCTTGGGGTGTTCTTTTCTAGGAATCGGACCCGGAAAATAGCAGTGTTCCTTTTTGATGTCCCTTTAAGACCACAAACAAACGCAACACACATCAACACACACACACATCCATGCATATTCTGGTTGTGAGTTTTTTTAATCGGTCCCGCAGCGTTTGGTGGTCCCAGGCACCCAAGTCCTGCATCACTCGCTGACAAACACCACCAGCTCACCAGACCAGCTCCCATAGCGCAGTCGAACTCAGGCTGCGGCCCCGTATAAGGCCAAGCTCCAGTTGTTGTTGTCCTTGCCTCCCGGAGCCACGCGAGCCGAATCTGATGGACACATCCCATCAAGGGGGGGGGGTTGCAGTGGGGGGAGGGATTTAGTTGATTGAGCCCAGGCCCCATGGGCCTTGAAAGGCCAAAGAGTTGAAATCCACGTCTTTCGTCCCCCGGGGCATCGGATCCCCGTGGATGTCCATGGGAAAGAATCGGCGCTCTGGGTCGGTAGTGTTTTGACGTGGCACACCCGGGCACACCCCCTCCAAACAAGAACAGTTGAAAGAAGGGCAGCTGGGTTCTGGGGGTTGTTTGTTTTTGATTGGGCGCATGTTGGAGAGGAACAGACAGATCCTCCAAGTGGGCGACTTTGCTTCACTTTCCCTGAAAAACCGGGCTCCCGACATTTGCCCCTTACAAAGGGAATATAGGAACCCCTGTTCAAAGCACAACAGGGCTACGAGTAGCAGCATGAAAGAGAGAGCGAGAGAGAGGGAGCTCAGTTGTTCAGTGACCCTGAAAAAAAAGGGAACCTTTTTTTGGGAAGCTTCCATTTTTAGTGGGCCACCCAAAACAAAGGAAAACAAATTGGTGCCACTGAACAACTGAGGGAGAGACACTCCTCAGTGCCACACAAGTGCGCCAATGCATCGAACCAAGCTGCTGATCATTGTGACCAGCACGTCGATGGCGCCCCATCCTCCTACCTAAGGCATCAGTCCGAATCACCAGGAGTCTTGGGCATGAACCGGAAGGGCTCCCGCTAAGAGAGGTGCCCAATGGTGAGAAACATCCACATGACACATGTTATTCCTTTTGCTAGGTCCTCCAGTAGAGAGGTTAGAATAAGGGTGTAGCCTATTTTAGTAGGGGAACCCTCCCCCAAAAAAGGTAAAAGGGCACTACTGGGGGACCTAGTTTGTGTACAGAAGAGTTGGGCCTTATCACCGAGCCCAAGTTGAGCGTCGTTACCATGCACGTCTGAGGTCTATGAGACCCCCCGAGACCCGCCAGCCAAGTACAGCTTCACTGGGGGAAGTCTGTGTTGGAGGGTAAACACGGCACTATTGGAGATACCCCACTGGGGCAAAGAAATGTTCCAACAACTCAAACCACACTGTGAAAGGAAAAATATCAAAGGGACCAGTACCTTTGGGCCAACAAGGGCCCCCTTAAAAGCCGTCCCTGTGGAGGAAATCCACTGCGCACCGCTTGGGATAGATGAAGCCCTATGGGACAAATGTCAAACTGTTCAGCAACTTCCCTCGCAGGTTCTACTTGCCGCCCTTCAGAAGTGATCAATGAGTCCTAGAATGGATCAATGACTCCCTAAGGGCAAATGCACGAGTTTGGAAGCAGATTTCCTTCAAACGGGTGTTTCTCGCTGCGTCAAACTGGTAAGCAACCCAACCAAATGCAAGCCCAGGAAAGCCAAATCAACAAACAACACCAAAGGTCTTTCTGTTTGAACATCACTGCCGGACATGAACTCGTGCCAACCTCTGCCCAAAGGTTCCCTGGACACAACCTCACCTCTGCTTGGCTGCTGGACCTTTAAAAGAGCAAACAAGTCGCGTGGTTTGGCGACCTCATGTTCAACGAACGTCTTCCCCTCCGCCCGCAAAAAATAGCAACCAAACCTGCTACACCGAGAGTAGCACTCGACGCGCTTACCTTCCTTCCAATCCTCCCAGACGAAAGCGGCCTTCCAAAACTCTTGGGCCCAAGGGGCCCATAGCAGGAACACCAAGAAGAAGGCGAGAAACTTCACCTCGCGAACCAGTCCGCAGCCGAGAAACATGACAGCGATTTCTGTGAAGTGTCAAAATATGGGTGGCTTAGAATAGGGGTCACCACCAGGACATGACCACAAATTCAATCGTCCATTCCAGGTACTAGCTTGCTCCCCCAATTTTGGGATTGCCTTATTTTTGAGCCCACGGCCAGAGATGGGAACCTCTTAAAAAGAGAATCCAGTGGCTGCCTGTTGGCCTATTGAAACCATCTCACAGTGTAGCCTCCTAAACAAAAAACCACCCATGACCCGGCGAGGCTTGCGGTTGCAGTTCCTTGATGCGTTCGCCCTTGCCATACGAGCCTCTATGTGGGCAGTGTAACCTCCATTTGCTTAAGTCCCCTGGAAAAATACAAAACGTGTCCAGTAGTGATAGATTCCCTTTAAAACCAACAGGGGGAAATAAACAACATTCTTAACCAAATGGAAGGTGAGGAGCAAATGGGGGAGTCTGAACGCCAACTTGCCTGCAAAGCCTGGGTTTGCGACGTCTCGGGGAACGAGTCGACCCCTGTCTTTGATTCATCTTTGCTGAGGCTGCTTTTGCTGCCTGAGTTGACGGCATTTGAGGGTTTAACTAGGAGCTTTCTGTGCGTTGTCCGTTTTGCTCGTTGCAGACCTCACCTTTTGCTCAGAGAGTCGAGGGGTCATGTCGTGAGGAGAGCAGAACGGTCCCTTGGTATCTCAGGTGAGTCTAGGACGGCCTAGGCTGGGGAGGGGTTGGGTGGGGTTCTCGGGGCTTGCACAGTTTTAGGACACCCCAAGTTGTTCTTAGAAGTCATCATCTCTCGTGATAGGGGAAGCTTCAAACATATCGACTCAATCATGAAACCAAATAAACTCCAACAAAAGCGAAAACAAATTGGGTCTAACCTGGGTGCTAAATTGGGGTTTTGGAGACATTGAAAAACACACACTATTCCCCTTGAAGTAAATTTAAGCGTTTGCTCTTGATCGCGGTCTGACTCGCGCGCTCGCCTTGCCCGGAGGCAGGGCAGACGGCACGTCCTCCGGGTTCGCCAAGGAAGTGGCCTGAGGCGCGGAAGGCCCGACGTGCGCCGCTTTTGCACTGACTGGGGTCAGGATTTGGCTGTGGGTCAAAAATGCGTACCCAAAATGGAACCCTGATAAATGGAACCAAAGACTAAAACATGCGGTTTCCTGGTGGTGTTATTTTGACCCATATACCAATTTTGACGGTTTCTGGGGGCTTTCAAAGTCAGAAAATGGTTGGTTGTTTCCCTTAACCCACCACTGAAGGGGGGTGACTTTGATCGTGGTAAAATAATGAGGCCAGACTGAGGGTGGTGGCATCCGAAGTCTAGCCCAAACGGAGGTCACGGGGTTTCCCGCGGAACTTCATGGCCTTCCCCCAGCGGGGAAAGCCGTGTCTCTGAGGGTCACTAAAAGGAAATGTCATGTGGGTCGCCTGCCGACAAGACAGGGTGACGCTCCATAACGGTATCAATCGGCAAACCCAAAGGAAACTGTCCCCAAAGGAAACTGTCCAAACATATGAGGGACATCGGTTTTGAAGCGGAAAACCAACAGGAAATCCCTTAGCAAACCCACTGTTGACTACTTGTAGGCCACCCCCCGTGACATAAAGGTTTAAAAGCTGAAATCCACCAAATGAAGCCAACCAGCTGCAACCTGCAAGTGTTGCTCCCAACCGGTTCCGGTTCTTGCAACTGCCGCTGGCAAAAAGAGACAATGTCGGCGATCGAGTGGCTTGGCCATTGAAAAGTAATCACACTTTGTGTTTACCACTACTTTTCATCGTGTGGACTGGCCAGAGAATGTAATTATCCAAACTGCTTGATAAAACCACACAAACAACTCACTTCCTGAGTTGATTGGCCCCAAAAAGTAGCTAAACTTGTGGTTTGTCACTAGCATGTCCCAAGCCCAAAAAGGCCTAAAGCTTGAATAAACTCAGGGAGTGAGTGCATGTGTCGCGCTCGGTGCCATCGACGTTTCTAGAGAAAACCGCTCGTGGGGTCAAGAGGTAGCCAAAGGAGAGGTTTATCAAGCTGAAAGGTTAGTAAACTGTAAACCCGACTAGTTACAAGGGTTTGCATCGGGGGTTAATGGGGGGTCCACTGGGGGTTTAAGTGGGTTGACTGGGGGATAACTGGGCTGGAAGAATGTATCTCCTCACTGCAGCCAGCCGGCCATGTTAAAACTCATGGATGGCCACGTGTTGCGCTGGTTCATGGAATGCCCCAGAACAGTGGATCTCCCCACTGGCCCCAATCCCGCCCACGCCCCGCAAAGACGTCTGGACACAACTTTTGCGGAACCCGGTGTAGTGGAATCCACCCTCTCTTTGGTCGAGCTGCTGGTCGTGCGGATGCTTCATGATCGGAAGCCTCGCGGGCTACACGTGTGGCCAAGTATCCAATTGCCCGGTGACCGTGCTCTGCAGCCCAAAAACAGAAGCTGCCAGGCTCCGCCGGCTGTTTGTTTTTTTCCAAGTACTGTCCAAAACGTGAGACTATCCCCAGGAACCATAGTGGTTGGAGGATCAATTCCCCGATTCCCTAAGACCAAGGCTACCTTTCCGCGGACTCGGACCCAACAAGAGAGTCCAAGGCGAGCATTGCCTTCTTTTGTAAACATTTGCTGTTCAACACCAACGCCTCCAATCCCTTTCCATTCCAATTCCAACTCCGACTTGAACAATGCAGGAAGCATTGTCCACGAAAAAGGGGTACACTGAAAATCCATATTTCATAGTTGCCCTACCCTAAGATATAATAAAGTTGTTTCGGAGGAGACCCCAAAAACTCCGCCCAGCAACTAAATGGGCTGAGTCATCAAAACCCTCATCCAGGAACCGCTTGATTTCTACTTTGGTTTGTTCTGAACAACACAAGGGCTGGTGTGAAAACCTAAACCATCACACATACTCCGGCTGCAAATTTTCGGAAGCCACCCCAAATTAATATCCTACCGTGTTGGTTGCTGTTGACCCCTCTGCAACAAGTTTACAACTTTTTGTGGGTGGAATGGAAACCCCTCATTTCAACCAACAAGTCTTCAAGTCTGAAGGTCCGCTGCCTAGCAATCAAGCCTTACACTCACACTTCCATCCACATGGAACCTCACAGGGGCCTGGAGGACCATGCTCCTTTAACTCAGATGCCCAGTGGCCATGTGAAACAAACATAATTTTAAGGAATCGGAACCGAACCCCCAAACACGTTGGAAAAAAACGGGGCGGAATCGAATCCACTGGGCAACTGGGTTAACAAGGGAGACCCCCTGAAAATGGATTTCAACTGTGGGATTCCGATCCTAATGGATCAGCTTCTTAGTGGTGACGCGCATCACTTCCTCAACCCGTTGCGTATGGTTCCTTAGAAGGCATCAGGTACCAAAACAGCCATTGTTTTTTGCGTCAAAATCGCGCCACCCCCCAAACAATGGGGGGGGGGGTCCTTTTGGTGTCCCTTAAAACCGACCTGCAAAGGGTACCATCTCAAACAAGACAGACCTATTAAACGCTGGACCAGACTTAGCCCCCTTGCAAGAACTGAAACTTCTTGCCGGCTGACAAGTAAAAAGACGGAAACCCAAAACGGCAAAAGTTAAACAGCTCAGCTAAGCCAGGCAATGCTTCGGTGTGGCCCCAAAAATGACACCCCGACACTTTCCGCGTGTCTCAGCCGCGCGAACCTCGTGTCCCAGCACCCGGGGCGACGCTGACATCGCGGGCTGAGCCGAAACCACAGAGTGCGGCAGCGAATTGCGCGCAGAGCGCGTGGTATCGCTTTTGTCCATCCACTTTACCCCAAAAAACAGCAACAGCGACTGAAAAAAGTGGCTGTGGTTTCATGTTCTGTGGATGTCCGATGTTGACAGAACTTGCGAATCGTAGAGGAAGCCACAAGGGGCTGGTTCAATGTAGGGCTCATTCCCTCATTCCCTCATCCCCCGAGAACCAGATAGTTATTCAGCCGACAAGTTGCACAAAGCAGCCCACCTCTTCCAAGGAGGATGCCATGATTGAGGAAGCAAGATCTCTCCTGGCATCCCAGCAGTTCCAGCTGCAGGTGACAAAAAACTTCTATGGAAAACAACCAGTGTTTTGTACGGCTTGCTACTATAGGTAACAGTAGTTTGGCACTAAGTGCATCAGGTAGCCTTGGCTTGCTAGCTCTAGATTCTATATTTTACATGATGGTTTCATCTGGTTGCTTTCCATGGTGGTATCTGAAGCCCCGGGCAGGCTAGGCGATGAGTCCATTGCAACAAACCAACCGAATTGGTCAAAGTCTTGTCGGCTGTTTGCATATTACCCGCGTCGGGCTCCACTGAGGAAATGCGCAGTGATACGCAAAGCTTCTCGCCTTCCGCCTTCGAGCGTGAGAAAGGTCGAGCCATTGGTCAGCCATGTCCTAGTTCCGCAACCCCGGAATTTCCAAACCCATCCTACCTTTAGCCGGGGGTGCCCCACAAAAGTGAAAGGTTTATTTATCCTGGGTCAACCTTAGAGGGAAAACCCTTCTCGTTGGGCAATCCCTCTCTTCGTGAGTTCCGTTGGCAACCAACTTGACGAGCTTTCCGAAATCGGAAGCATGCTGCAAGTCTGCCACACATTTGTAGGAGGTCAGATGTTCTTCCCTTACAAGCCGAAAGCTTGCCACGCGTTGTTCTGTGTCTTGCGGGGTACAAACATCCTCATCCAGTGTCTGCAAGTGCTTCACCTCCGCCTCTGAAATCCTCCGCCTCATGCGGGGGTGAGGATAAGCATTAAATCGAGGGGTGTCCCAAAAAGAGGACCCTCTTGGATGTTTTCTTGGAGGGGCAGTGAAAACTTGTTTATAACAAATGGCCCAAATGCTCAAGGGGAAGCAACAAAAGGAACCAAAAACAAGTGTGTACGGCCCGGCTCCCATTTTCTCCACGAGTTGCTGCACGCCCACTTGGTGCTAGAGGCTACAATCTATCAGGGGTCTGTTGGGTTGACAACGGATGAATGGCCTTGATGATAAAAAGGGTCCGACCCCCCCGCCGGGAACAAACACAAACACATGATCCTCAACAGGTACAAGCCCAAAGAGAGGCTCCGGGGGTATTTGCGTACACAACAAATATGGTCAGATTCTAGTCCACATTTAGTCTACCCTAAAGATGCAAAATAGTTTTGGAGGAGACCCCCCGAATTCGAGGAATTTTGGGGAGCCCGCAGTTTAGAGGTGGTAGGTTAGGGTCGGCAGCTCTGGTCTGGTGCCCCCCCTCCCCCCCCCCCGGCTCAGCCTTTCCATCAGCACTATCATGCAAGACCAGGACATCGGCAAAGCCAACCTGGGCGACGCGGCACATCCATCTCTAACCCTGCCGTTGCTGGCCGCCTTGAATGTTGACCCCAGATTAATCAACGTAACCCTAGTTTATTAATCAAAGGAAGTTTAGTAAGAAAACTTCCGTAATACGAAAAGTTGAATCACAAGATCCGGACACAGAAGTCTGCACGGAAAATCGTGAAGGGTACCTCTGTTCTGCGTGCGGTCTCGCCACGGTCTCGCCACGGTCTCGCCACGGGTTCGCCACGGGTTCGCCACGGTCTCGGAAAGTTGTCCACTGTAATGCTCGCGCAGACGCAAGGCGCAGATTTCGTGACAGGTGCAGCATTTTGTGCCCGTGCAAGGTCAAGTACAGATTTCGTGGCAGGCGCAGCATTTTCGCAAGGTCGAGTACAGAGCTCGTGGCAGGCGCGGCACTTTCGCAAGGTCAGGTGATAGATCGATAGATGGATAGATAGATCAAATGGGAAGAGAGAGAGAGACAGAGAGAGAGAGAGAGGCGAAGGTGTAAATCGCGTGGCAGGCGCAGCACTTTCGCAAGGTCAAGTACAAACTTGCGCAAGGTCAGGTGATAGATAGATAGATAGATAGATAGATAGATAGATTAGATAGATAGATAGATAGATAGATAGATAGATAGATAGATAGATAGATAGATAGATAGATAGATAGATAGATAGATAGATAGATAGATAGATAGATAGATAGATAGATAGATAGATAGATAGATAGATAGATAGATAGATAGATAGATAGATAGATAGATAGATAGATAGATAGATAGATAGATAGATAGATAGATAGATAGATAGATAGATAGATAGATAGATAGATAGATTAGGTAGATAAAGAAAGAAAGAAAGAAAGAAATAAGGAAATAAGTCAAGAGAGAAAGAAAGAAGAAAGAGAAAGAAAGAAAGAAAGAAAATAAAGAAAGAACGAAATAAATAACGAAATAAAGAAAGAAAGAAAGGACGAAAGAAGGATAAATAAAGAAAGAAAGAAAGAAAGGAATAAACAAAAATGAAGAAATAAATGAAGAACAAAATAATAAATAAATAAATAAATAAAGAAAGAAAGAAAGAAAGAAAGAAAGAAAGAAAGAAAGAAATAAAGAACTATAGAAATAAATACAGAAAGAAAGAAATAAGGAAAGATAGAAATAAAGAGAAAGAAACAAGTAAAGCAAGATAGAAATAAAGAGAAAGAAATAAGTAAAGAAAGAAAGAAAGATAGAAATATAGAGAAAGAAAGAAAGAACAATATACCAAAAAGTCTAGGCGCGATCAGCTGAAGAAGCTACGCAATAGATGCTGTCTGAGGCGACATAGCAAAAAGGTGCGTCTTGTCTTGACTCCCCCTGTTTTGGTCCCCCCTGTTAGTTTGGGGTTGTTTGGGGTTGTCACCCGAATGGGATGGGATGTCTTTTGCCAAAGATACACTCTTACGGTAGGGCGGTCCCTGCTTTAACTCCCCCTGTTTTGACCCCCTCTGTGACTTTGGGGTTGTCTTTTGAGCACAGCGTGTTGAGGCCAAAGACATGCTCTTACGGCAGGGCGATACCTTTTTTGACTTTGCTCTGGGAGCCTTGCTCTGGGAGTGAGCCAGGACACTTTGAGACCCCTCCCCCCAAATTGAACAGGAAACATTTCGGGAAGATGAGAAAGAAAAAGAAAGAGAGAAAGACAAAAACAAAAAAAACAAGAAAGAAAGAAAAGACAAAGAAAGAAGGACAGGAAAGAAAAAAAGAAAGAAAAAAAAAAGAAAAAAAAAGGAATGGACAGGAAAGAAGGAAAGGATAGAAGGAAAGGAAAGAAGGAAGGGAAAGGAAGAAAGAAAGAAAGAAAGGAAGGAAGAAAGAAAGAAAGCAAGAAAGAAAGCAAGAAAGAAAGAAAAGAAAGAAAGAAAGAAAGAAATAAAGAAAGAAAGAAAGAAAGAAAGACAGAAATAAAGAAAGAAAGAAAGAAAGAAAGAAGGAAAGAAAGAAAGAAAGAGCGCAACCAAAAACAACAAGTCAAGCTCTTCCTATAGGCACTCTTCTCGCTTTAGAAACTTCCGTCCACCGGCTTCGCCGGCTCTACTGGTATGGAGTGTTCCCCTCCAAAAGTGATGACCCACTAAACTCAAGGACATCCCCCCCCAATTGATTCATAACTAGGTCCTCAAGTAGAGAGGTTAGAAGAAGGGTACCCAATTTTTTCTGCAGTCTATTTTACTAGGGGAACCCCCCCAAACAAAAAAGAAACGGCAAAAAAGGGCACCAATTGCTGGGTGACCTGGATAAACTGCTTGGGTTAAGTCTGCGGTCAACGTTTTTCGGGGCCCCGGGCAGCATCAGCAGGTGCAGCTCCCAAGCGCCCAGCCGCCAGCGGTGCGGCACCGTGTACCCTGGCGGGACGCGCCAGCGGTCAGCCGCTCGGAAGCTGAGTTCACCAAACGCCCGGCTGAGGCCCCGGTTAACCGGTGCGTTTCATTTGCTTTAACGAGTGGTTGGCCTTGCACCCAGTTTAACCCTCAGTTCAAAAATTGAAACTTGGGTGAAATTAACCGCGCAAAAGCCTAGACCTAACTGAAAGCCAGGATTCCAAAATATCTGCCCGGCTGTTTTCTCGAGGGGCAAAGACCCCTCCAAAAAACGCAGCTGGCAGCTTGGGCGCTTGGCTTAGGAACAGCCACAGTAACCCTCGCCTTTCCCGGGGTTTCCCACGCAGTGCTTCCAGTCATCACTACACCTGCACGTTCTGAACAAGTTAGGGAATGAACCCTATAAATCATCCCCCTAGGCCCTATGGTTGCTTTTACCCAAGGTTCATCCCAAAACCCTAGGTTATTCCCGTCTACGCACCAGCAAGTATAGTGGGTAGCCAGGGGACACGACTGAACAACAACTAACGGGCGTGTAAGCACAGCAAGTCTTTCTCAAACATCCTCTGCTTGGGCAGTTAAAAACATGAGAGCCAAAACTGCCAAGCTGAAAGCTCAGATCCAGGGACACATGGAACAAAAATAGGTACCCAACATGGAACCTGGTAAATGGAAACATGGACTAAAACCTGCGGTCCCGTGGTGGTTTAATTTTGACCCATACCGGCCCATATCGTTTTGTCGTGCTGTTCATCTCTTTCCAATTGCGTCGCGCAAGTGCCAGCAGTCTTCACAGGGTGTACCCCACAAATGACCCTGACCGTTTGTAGTGAGAAGGACGCTTCCCAGCGCTATGTTCAATTCAAGTTATGTGCTTCCCAAAACGCCAAACTGGAATATTCGGAATAAGTAATAAGTATGTCTAGAAATAGCCACTACAAAGTTTGGGCCGCTTCCTTGCGTAACCCAAGAAGGATCTTGTGGATTGAGGAGATCGGAGGTTGCTTCGGATGGAAATTCTCGGCGGCGGTGCGGCGGCAATGGCAGTCCACGGGCAACAGGACCCGAGCCGCCAGCAGCAGCCTCAGCGAGGCCGTTTTGAGGCTGTTCGGGCTTGGTACACCTTTCCAATTGGGACCTTTTGGTGGACACATTCACATTAATTGTGTCCAAGAGTGTCTGAATGAGTTCAAACCCTTCGTTGTTCAGTGACCCTGGAAAAAAAGGAACCCTTCTTGGGGAAGGCCATTTTTAGTGGGGCACCCAGCAAAAAGGGAAAAAGGGTGCCACTGAACAACTGAGTTGTGGGTGGCTTTCAAGGGAAGCCCGGAGGAAAACGAAGGATATGACACATCACATGAGGGGTTGCAACAAGAAAATGGGGAGCCGTTGCTTGGGTTTCAAGGCACCCCCAAAAATCGTGGTTGGTAACGTGGGCTTGTGGGTTTCCCTTTTGGTTTCCCCTGAACCAGCCAGAAGCGGGTTCCCCCAGAAAGGACCCCCGGGGAACACAGCCCGGCATCAGACAGCCCGGCGTCAAGGGTCCCCAACATCGGGAGGACCCTGGATTTGGTGGGTTTAGAAGCCCAAGTAAGGACACCTTTCACTTCAAGGGAGCACTGCGCCCAAAACCTTCCTGGACCCTCAAACTAAAATAAGAGGCATTGCCACACAATTATGACGTGACTTCCCTTTTTCAAGGGAATGTTGAGGGCCCGGGCATTTCGCCAACTAGACCGGGTAGTGGAAGCTTCCAAGTGGGCGCTGGTCATGTCTCTTAGTTGGAACACAAAGCACCCGCAAACGAGAAATTGGTACTCCTCCGATTTCTCACAGGAGCCCAAAGGACCCACAAGTAAAAGGCAGCCTTTTGTGACAGGCTGACTTGTTGGGCCAAGGACTCAACAAGGACCATCACTGGAAAACCAAAGGGTCAACAGGTTGATTCGCTTTGGGCAACTGAGTGCTAATTCTGTGCTCTGGTTTCCTTCTGACCATTCCCAACCTGCAGAAGAGATCGGACACTTGCAGGCCGGAAGTCCAGGAAAGATAGCTTGGAACATAAAAACTGGAAGGCAAGCCTTCATGCCCATATGACTGGAATTCAACGACAACTTGGGAACCCTGCGTCTAACCACAAGTAGCAAGTCCGATGGTTGGTGAGAACTCGCTCGAGCACCTTCTAAAAGGTTACCATATCAAAAGATGCCATGTGACTCTTTCCTCCCGTGGACCCACTTCTTCCCTTGGCTGGAGGGGCAGCGGAAAACACAGACCCCAAAAAACAAAAACGAAAAGAAGAAGAAGAAGTAAAAAAAAGCGGCCCAAAGCCATCAAGTGAGTGTCTCAAAAGGGACAAACTGGGTGTTCCTCGGTCCCTTCCTGCAACCTGTATAGAACCAAGCGGAACGAATTCTGGGGAAGTTCCAAGGGAAACCACGAGGAAGCCCCGCCCTCCGCCCGCCCCACGCGCCACAACCCGCGCCACCGAGGCGTGTGGCACGTGTGCGCCCAGCGCCGCCGCCAGCGTGGCGGCACACGCGCGCAGCGACCAGGTGGCCTTTCAATCCATCAGCTTCTAATCGCGTCACGTGTGGCCCAAATCTACGGTACACCAGAAAGCATAGATGCTACTGGGACAGGACAAGCCACTTACCAACTGATGCGAAATGTGTTTGAAAGGGAAACCAAGTGGAGCACCACCAATTTTGCGGGTCCCCTGAACCCCAAAGAGACACACCCATCATAGGTGTCCTTTTTGGTTGAACATAGATATCCCTAGTAGTTGATTGAACCACCAGGTAAACCAGGAATCGTCCTCTATTTTTCGACCAAATCAACCAAAAAGGACACCTATGCCAGAAAGCCTGAACTACATGTTCCCCCGGTCCTCATGACCGCGTCGACTTAAGCGGTGAAAACAAAGAGCCAGCACAAAGCCCAGCTGAGCGGTGGCTGAAATTCATGTTCCCCCCAAAAAAAGGATCTTGGTGGTATGTTAACCATGACTTCTGGCTAACATGGAACCCAAAGAACACAAAGTCTTCCAGTTGAAGTCCAAGTGGGTGCGAGAGTGGCATTTTCAGATGGTCCATATGTAGTCTACCCTGAGATAGAGCTTGATGTGGGAGGAGTCCACTATGTCCCCCTCCTTTTTTGCAGTTGGCGAATACCAATCTGGAGTTGCTCCCATGGCAACTAATATGAAACCTCCAGATCATCAAGACTCCTTTGGGGACAGCGTTCTTGTGTTCCATGCCAATTTGCAGGGGGGGGGCAACTTAAGCAGGGGGGTCTTTTGAGGTTTGCCCCAAGGATCTTGCTCCACTGCTTGAAGGATCTGCGTTGCTACGGGTTCTCCATTCGAGGGCCAGGAGGTCCACCCATTCAACTTTTGAAACGGCCCTTAAGCTGATGGCATTTGCAACAACATGCCTGACCCGACCCACTGCATGGCACCTCGACATCCATTGATGCCAAGCGTCGTCCGCCTCGTTCGGTCTCGCGAGAAAGTCAGTCGGTCCGTTTCAGCAGGTGCCTCTCTGGCGGGGTGTTCCAAGGTAGTCTGATAAAACAAAGCATGCGCTTCTGACTTTGGCAAGCACAAGTAATCATGAAGCACATTCACCCTTAGATTTCCGCTCGGTTTGGGGAACAATCCAAGTGTTGGTGTCTTGAGCTGAAGATCTCTGCATTTGTCTCCAAATAGGAAACAACCCGAAATGTTCGGCCACGCCAGAACCTGGATCTTCAAACCACCCTTAAACATGGTTGTTGCCCCCGCAAGTATGAAATTTGAAGTTGTGCTTCTGGACAAGGCCCGTTTAATGAGGTCCAAGACCTGATGGATGTCCTGCTTCATAGATTGGACTCCAACAACTCCGGTTCTCAAGGAACCTGGAGCCTCAAACTACCCCTAAAAAACCGGCTGGCGCAAACCCTCAAACTACCCACAAAAACGGGGGATTGCGCCCAAAAATCTCAGGGCTAGGGTCCAACGAGCGCGGGACCTCGAGGCCAGCCCATCTCTCTCGGGCGCGGGCTCCACAAGGTGCCTTCCCCAGGTCGCGAAGGCCCTGGCCATGGCTTGGGGCGGCTCCATTGTGACAAAACCCGCCACATTTACGTGTCGGAAAACCAAACAGCAAGCCACTGGTATGTGCTTGTTGAAAGAGCAAAGAGCAGCCCACAAATTGTGTGTTTGCCTTTTTGCTCTTTTAAAAACAAAAATAACAAATGAAAAGTCTACAGCTCTAAAAATGGGTTCCACTACTCCCAACCTACCACAAGAAGTTCAAAGGGATGGCCACTGTGAAGCTTTTTCCCACACCGCTGTCCCCTTGAAAAAGGGTTTTAGCTTGTATTTGAGTCGAGTTCTTTATTTTCTTTGTTGGGGGCGAGGCCGATGGAACTCATCTTCGACCAGCCCCTGTTTAAATGACTGGGTTGCTTGCGTGTCCTTCTTGAAGGGAAACTCAAACAACCCTGGCAAACAACAGCTGGGCAGCATGGGATGTTTGGTTCTAAGTTGGTTACGTAGGTTTGGTTCTAGTCGGTACTCTAACCCCAAAACTCGGATTTGCCCAAAACTCCAAGAAACCAGATAGAAGCACCCAAGATGGCCAAAAGGACTCGGACATTGAAACCACCCAAAGGAACATGCGACGCCCCCCGGATCTGGCTGCAAGCGGCGAGCATCCACACGCCTGACCCTATTCAAGGCCTTGGCCATGTGGGGGTATCCCATGTGAAGGCGCGTGGGAACCACAACCGTGTCCTTCAGCATGTAATTCAAAGGACATTGAAATAGGCTGAAATGATATGCTTGGCACCCTGGAACTGCCATAAAAGTGGGTTATTGCTTCAAATTGCGGGGTGGGTGAATGCCCTTTTTGAAGGGAATGATGAGGGTTCGGTGGGCCTGCGTCACATGCGTGATGTTTTGACCAAGGCTCGGATGGCCTCACTGCGCGACAGCCAAGACCCCCGAAAACATGACGGCAGCACGACTCTCTGCTCGCTCGGGCCTCGCGTCTTGCGCAAAAGCGCATGCGGACACATCAGCCAAATTAGATCTTTTGACCGAATGCTCAAGTCAGTCACAATCAAAACCCGGTATTCAAATAGTCTACCCAGAAAAAAAGTAAAGAATTAAGACGGCGGCCGCAGCTATTCATGGCTGAAAGTGTCCGTTAGTAACCTTCATCTACCCGACTTTTGATTGTGGCACAAATGGACTCAGGACAAAAGTTCCCTGGGGTCATCATGTTGAAGTTGCCTTAGTCAAGCCCTGTGGCCTTTGCTCGGCCATGAACACATGAATCATTCTAGGGGTTGATTCCCCACTATGTTAAACCATTGTTCTTCTCAAAAACCAGCTGTTTCCCCAGGATTATTTTGTTTTTTGTTTTTAGAAAGAAGGATCCCTGGAAAGAATTGGGAAGGAACCACTAGAATCATAGAGTGTTTGCTGTTCGGACATGTAATGCCCCAAAAGCAAAACCACTGCTCTGTATATGGGTCTGTCTTATTTTTGAGGGCACGCGTCTTGAAAAGTGGTTTTAGAGGAAAACACAAAAAAGACCGAAGCCCTGCTTGGGGGGTTTCGATTCCGATTTCAAGACAAACCTAGATCAACTCACCAACTTCGGAGCCTTTAGGAAGCACACCCTTTGTGAGGTTGCCATAATTCTCCCGGACTAGTGGGTTCTAGGGGCCTCCCTTTTTTCCTTTAGCGTCTAGGGTTCTGGCTTGGATTCGGACACCAAAGGCGGCACAAAGCAGCTAGAAGGTTCCTTATTTTAGAACACACCAATATAACAGCTAACTCTCAAGTGGTGCTGTGGCTTGGTGTGTTGGAGGTATGTGTCTTCCTATTCACTTTCAACAGCAAGGGCTCAAATCCTCAAAGCATCAAACCCAACCACCAATTCAGCTGGGCCAGAGTCAACTTGTTGCTGGTGAAGGAAGACCAAAAGGGCTAAGTCTGGCAATTTAAGGTACCCTCCCACCAATGAACATTGAACCTGACAGTTCCTGGAATACTAGTTACTAGGTTCCTTTTAAAGGGAGCCCTGGGTTCCAAATTCAAATCCCCCGCCTACTGCCCCTTGCCGTCAAAAACGGGCCTCTGTGATAAGCGGACCCTCCCATTCAAAGAGTCCAGAGGGTCTAAATAAAAGGGAGGCTCTCCTATAATGTCATGAAATATTAATCCCAAAATCACGAATTTCTGACAGAACACATTCTTATTATATTATGTTAGTCAAGGGACCCTAAAATTTGGTTTCTTGGCCAAACCATCGAGTCCCTTCCCTTAAAAACCGGAGCCTAATAAGCCCGGCCCAAACAAAACGCCCTCGCTCCACTCTCCCCCTGTGGCCCAGGCGGGTGCTGCAGGCACGTGTAGCGCAAGCCCTGCGCCAGGCTCGACAGCGCCCGACCTGAAGCGACCGATGCCACTTTGGCATCGCCGGTCTGCCTGATGAAAGGTCAACCTTACTTGTTGTTACACCTCTGACAACATGACAGCAACACATCCACCTCTTGAATTGGTTGTCTACCTGGACCTTTTGAGTTGCCACTAAATATGGGAACCCACAAATGGGAAGCCAAATGGTCATTTCAGGTCGATTCGCTTTGGTTGCAAGTGAGCAAATAATGGCAAACGCTTCTCGCGCCGGTCGGAAAAGCTCTCTCGTTTCTGAGCCGATTCCGCTGCAAACAAAAAAAATATGGTTTCCACCATTGTTTCAACATGGTGCAGGAATGATGAATCTGTACAAATCCCATACAATATGGTTTCTCACGGTATTCCACTGCAAATACCGACAAAATCCAGTTCGCACCAGTCGGGATGGATGAAACATGATAAGCCCTTTTGGTTTGTGGGATAAGCACACTTACTAATTCGACCGTCCACAGTATGCTGGTTTGCTGCAAGCCGCCAATATGAGCAACAGGTTGTGATCGAGTTGTTTTGTAAGTATGCAAAAACCATGTGTTTCAAAAGGTCTAACTAGGGTCGCCACTACACTTCCCCCTACATCGCCTGAAAGGACACTCCTACAAGAAATTGGCCCAAAGGGTGAAGTTGAATACCACCAAGAGGAAAACATAGGAGCCCTTAGCATGCTTGGGCGTTTTTGACAACCTTAAACATTACCTCAACTTTTGCCCCCCCCACCCAACAATATACCTACTCTGCGAAATTAGTCAAATGGGAACTTCTGCAAAGGGGGGAAACATGCGCCCCAAAAAGTGTTCCGAGCGGTTCGCTGGAAATGGCTCCAAAAGGCGTTCCTCGTCTTCCCTGTGCAATTTCGGCGCCACCAAATCAAAACATGAATGTGTTGGGAAGAGGTTCTAACATTGGCTTCCTTTTGGACTACACACAAGATTTTCGGTGATTGGAACCCGTTGAACGGACCCCATGAAAATGGCTGCCCTGTACTATGTGAGTGTGTTGCGTTTTGAGGGTCCCTTTTTTGTGCTTTAGAGGAAGACCAAAATAAACAACGCCATTTTGCTTTGTTTGTTGACCCCTCTGCGAAAAGTTTTAACTGATTGTGGATTTGATGGACCCCCTGATTTCAATCGAACAGTTGAACCCAATCGCAATCAAGTTTGGCGGTTCCCCCAAAACAAGGACACACCCCGGTGATGTAGGAAACCCCCCGGTGTCGACACGAGCGCCGAGCGCCGCACCGGAGGCTTGAAAGCTCTCAGGTTCCTGCGAAAGCGAGAAGGGACTGGGGCCACTGGGGTGAAGCGACCATCCCAGTGATGCCACTGTCCTGTATCTCAGGTGTTCAGTGACCCTGGAAAAAAGGGAACCCTTTTGACTCGTGGCGCTTCCATGTCGGTGAGGACATGCGGAAACGCGGGTCACAGGGGCATGCCGCCCCAGGACCTCACAGAAACGGGCAACCGGTGCCCCATAAAGTCAATGTGCAGGGGCCAAGCCTCACCCCACACATGGCGTAGTGGGCAGCGAGGTGCTGCGTGAAACGGAGTGCCACCCGGAGTGACGTGGCATCGAATTGAAGCGCCCAACAGAAGAGGGCAGATCACCAAAATCAAAAGTATGCTGTACACAGCGGAGAACCCGAAAGTTGAACAGGGATCCAGCAACAAAGCCACATCCAGCCAGAGGAAGTCGGGGCCTCCGGAGCCGTTGGCCCAAGAACGCCGAGAAGTAAGGTCAAGCACCACACGGCTGCAGCCACTCACAGTAGAGGGACTGTAAGCTGACGAAGTACTGGCAGGGAAGGTAGGAAAAATCCCGCATCTACCTTGCCACCGACTGCTGCAAGTACTGGAGACCCAAAGGCACCATGAGAAAGGCAGCCTGCATCACAACTGCCGAAAGTCCCACAGTGACGAGAGGGCACAACCAAGCTCCAGGAAGAACCACCCAAATATGCTGACGCAGAGCGTGTAGAGGACGAGTCATCAGAGGGGTCAAAAACCGCAAGGAAAGGCCCGCGGCACCTTCACCCAAACAGGTGTTCAGAAGATGGGGCCAGCCCAAAGGCCGGGAATCTTCACGGGTACGGCGGGCCAAAAGCCTGCGCCTCCAAGCAGAAGCACCCCATGGACAACAAACCACAAACGCGGCCAAGAAGAGGAGGGTGAACAGGGGGTTCACGAGGAGCAGGTTGAAGACGGAGCTGCCAGCCATGGCTTTTTGGACGCTGGACCGGGCAAGGGAGCCCCAGCCCAGCCCCGGGGGCTCAGCTCCCTGAGCCGAGGGGCCTTTGAACCCGGACGGCTAAAAGGGAACCCTTTTTGGGGGAGACCATATTTAGTGGGGCAGCCACCAAACAAAAAGGGAAGAAGGGTGCCACTGAACAACTGAGGTATAGCTACCCTCCTAACACGTTTTGGATCCCTTGTTCACCCTCCTGTCCACGTTGCTATGGAAGCCACCAGAGCTTCCATTCTATAGGAAAATTGTCTTCCAGGACCCCAAACGTCAGGTTCCATGCGAGTGGACAGGAGGGTATATAACCAACGGAACCATCCTGTCAAAAGCAAACCCGGGCCAGACTTGGACCCACAACAAGTGGCAAATGTTGCTAGTTGGCAGGGAAAAACATGGAAAACCCCAAAGGCAAAACGTCAAAAGGAGAAGTCTGGCGTCCGGCGATCAAAACTGATGGTTGCAACTACTTTCCGGGATCTGGGCATTGGAGCCACTGGCTTCAAGTGGCACTGGCTACAGGCCCGCGCTTGGACATCATGATAGGAAGTGGATGGGAAATTGCGGTGGCATACTTCATGGTGAAGCCGGCAAACTAGAGAGTCATAGTTCATGCGAACGGGGTTTGGTCTCATATGGATGTTGTTGTGTGTGGGTACCCCTTCTCGGGTTGTGTCAAGCGGAAACCAACGGCACATCACCCAGTTTTTGGGCCCCCGTGGATCACCCTATGTTTCGGACGCTGTCACCATCCGGAAACCATGGAGCCTCGTTTGATTCGCCGGCAACATGACACATGCATGCGGCAATGCCGGATTGATCCTGAATGTAGACGACCAACACAAAGGTAGCGAGTGGCGATCGTTTAGGAGATTGAAATAAGCAACCTCAAGAACGGATCCTTCCTGGGCTAGGTCGCTAAACCCATTTGTGGGCTCCACTCAAAGCAGAAGGCGGGGACATGTCTCGGACTCCCAGCGCACCCTCTGCAAGATTCGGCTCATTCATTCCTATGAGCGTCAATTCAATTTCTCACTTCCTGACTGGATTGGCCAAACAAAGCAACCATATTTTTTGTTTCTCACTAGAATGGTCCAACCCCCCCCACCTCAAAAAACAACAAAAAACAGGAACTCAGGGAGTGAGAACTGGTTGCCGCGCGCCCCCCCCCCCCCCGGCATGCCCAAATTGGAGGTTTAGACACAAGGCCGCTCTTATTGGGGGGGCGGGGACCGCCTGCAAAACCGATAGGGCCCCTCCCGTGCACCGATACGCCGGTAATGTGAATGCGTCTTTTTGACCCTGTTTCGGGCTTTAAAGAAAAACCAACAGGAAAGTCGAAGCTTTCTTCCTAAGTGGACTGGCAAAAAAACAAACTCTTTGTTTGCCACTAAAATGGTCGTCCCAAAAAGCATTAAGTGCAGGAACTCAGGGAGTGAGGAAGTGGCGCGCGCCCGTTTCGATGCGTGCTCAGACCCCTGCACTCAGCACCAGCAGCTGCACAGGCAGCAGCAACCAGCGCAGCCTAGGCGAGAGGCATGGCGGTCATGGCGGCAAGAGTTCTAAGTTTTGGCCAGGGGCGTGCACAACTTTGCAAGACTTCGACGTTGTATGTTGTATGCATCTCTCCCCCTCTCTCTCTCTATGCTCATATTATGAACAAGCATGAGTTGAGATATTGGGACCCAATGCTTATATATGCTGCAAATGGAGTCCAAATATATCCAGAGATACGTGTTGGTCTGCTCATGTAAACCCTACTTTCTGGCACTTTTGGTATCCGTGGTCACCCGCCGCGCTTGTTACATCCCTCATATCAGACCCCTGCTTCGATGATAGCTATTGGCATCTATCCAGGGTCAGCATTGCGGGTTGCGGGGGGTGTGCGGGGGGGGGGGGGAGCTGGGAACCCTAGAACCCTGAAGGGAAATGCTCAGGGAATCCCCAAGTAACCCTGGCCGGATTTCTGCGCGTCACGTTGGATAAACCCAATTATTTGTGTGATGCCAGGGAAAACCCTGTAGCCGCGTCCTTTTGTGCAGTAAAACAGAGAACAAAAACGGGGTGTCTTGCGCGATCTTCTTTTGCCTTACAGTTAAAGGAGGGGAGAATGGGAGCTTGTCTCCTCTTCCCCTCCTTGCAAACTAGGTTTCTCCGAACACCCGATCAGGAAGGGTAAACTTTTGGGCCAGCCGTTGACCAAACTTCTACCCTGAGGCTTGGTTTATCCCAGGCCAACTCGTGTCTGTGGGTTCGCCTTCAACACGTCTAAACCTGATGCTTTCTGCAAGCCTCTCAAACAGTTGCGAGCCAACCGAAACCTGCCAAACCTCCATCTGCCAAAACGTCCCCTACAAAAATGAAGGTTTATGTCCAGTAGGGTTAGACTCCAATTAAAAATCAACAGGGGAAAGTCCTTTCCAAACATGCTGCAGCAAATGGAACTTCCAGTGCTTTGCTTTGAGGCACCGGGCAACGGTGGCACATCCTCAGCCACCATCCCGCCATCGGCTGAACGTCCAAACGGAGAAATTTGAACCCCCCAGTGATTCCGTTTCCCTGTGTAGGAAAACAAACAGAAAACCAACGGGAACACGCGTCTGTGTTTTTGTCTTCTTCTTCTTTTTCTTGGGGGGGGGGCTCTATTTTGACATGTATCCATTTCCCTTCTTTTCAAGGAAACCACCCAAAACCAAAATAACAGCGAAGGGCGTGCCTCGAAATGGCAGTTTTCCCTTTGGCTTCCTTTTAAAGCCACGGTCAGGCTTTCAAGCTTTATCAGTGGAAAGCTGCCAGCCGCTAGACAAAGGTTGTAAACAAAGACACACGCCACAATCTACGCTGCTCTTCCGGCGCTCATTGCGGTAGATCATGTGGGATGGAACAAACCAAGAAACACCGCAAAGCCTTGCCGAACCGTCCCTGGCCTAACAATAAGGGCACGGCTCCTTTTGGGGGAGAAATCGCTGCCATTGCTCAATGATTTTCCAAAGTCAAAGACCAGCGAACCCACCCCCCCTCTCCAGTTTCTCCACCACGCTGACCCACGGACACGTAGAACACTCTTTTTCGCACGAGGGATACCTCTTCCTATGTGATCGGAGCACCCCACGGACGGAAACTCCAAACGACTCCAAGAGGAACCCTCCGCCGTCGGCCAACCAAGGCGTGTGGTGAAATTGTGTTGGGGTGAATCGGGCGGCCAACTTTTGGGGCCTAAGGAGGCCAACCATAGGATGGTTGGTGGGTTTTGTTTGGAGAAACCAACACCTAGTAGGTAACCAACAATTCGCCTTTAGGGTTTTGAAGGGTGGCAAGCCCTTGGTTACCTGCTATACAGCTAAATGAAATCCCCGAGACGGGAGACAACCCATGTTTTGGAGGTTTCTTTGATTTTCGGGAACTGCTTAGTGGGAGTGTCCGGCTGTTCACATACAAGGGCACCTCCACGTTCACGTTAGAGGAGCTGTTTCCTGCAAAATTGCAGCCCGGGAGGTGAATTACACCACATGTGGTGCTTTGCATGATCGATCAGCCCTAATCCTGACTTACCCACTCATTGGATGGGCTGCTCACAAAACCGCGAGCCCTACAGGAAACCTGGGAAGTTCATTGGGGGATGCCAGCTTGGGCAGTGCCATCTGGGCAGCCGACCAAAGGCTCTCCGTTCAGCATGAGGATTGTAGAGACCTGGGATCTGAGGGCCGCCGCCGCCCTTGCGCCCCAGAAAAGTTGCTTACCAAGACCCATGAAAAGCAATTGCGTATTTCTTCTGGTCGTCAATTTCCAGCCCGTTGTTGACCACCTTGCAAAACAAAAGAGTTCTGATCGAAGGGTTCTCATCGAACCTGTCAGGGGCCCTAAACTTTCTCCTCACTGCACTGATCTGGGCCAAACTTGCTTGAGAAAGCATCCCTTCACAGCTCACTTTGTGTTCCCTAAAATGCACAAACATATGCCCCAAAAATCCCAACGGTTTTTTGGTCCTTGAAAACAGTGGCGTCATCATCCTGAGGGCCTCGGGGTAAATCACAAACCGGAAACAAGGAATTCCTTCACCAAAGGCCTCCATGGGTGAGTTTGCTTCCCCGACCGAGCTCACTAAGAGTTGGTGATATTGAAGGAATGTCCCCCCGAAGATGTGTCACATCCAGACCCCGCGGGCATGGGGAAAAAACAGGGCAATGGGTTTTACGTCAGTTTTTCTTTGGTCGTTGAGTTTTGAAGGGTGGGACCCACCCCATCCAACCAAGGCCCCGCGAAGAACACGCCACCTGGGACTCCGGTGCTCTGGGGCTCCGACGCCGCAGAGAGCCGCAAGGAAGCCGGAGACCGCCTCAAACGTGGACGTTCGACTTCAAGGGAGCCCAAGGCGGGAAAGTACCAACCCATTGGGAGAATCCAACAGGGCGACCCGTTTTTTGGGGGTAAAACTTAAGTTGCAGGGAGTTCCCATCATTTTGGGGCGTCTGGGGCCAGTTTTAAAATAAAAATGAAACTGCCACCATCCCCCCAAGCACTCCAATCCCAGTTTCGCCAATTTTTGTCGTCCTCAAGGGTTGTGAGTGTGGGGGGTGTTTGGGGGATCCTGCAAGCAGGGCTGAACATCGTTCAGCATCCAAAACTCCATGTGCGAAATCCAAGATGCCATTATGTTGACCCCGAAAAATTCCACAATCATGCAGAGTCATCTGGTTGAATTATAATATTTCACCAACCTGAATTCAGGTGGTTGGGCTATTCCCCACATAAACCAACATTTGGGGTGAGGTCGTCTGAGGTCATTATAATTCACTCAGAATCATGTGTTCAAACGTCCGCAAACACACAAGCAAACACACTCAATTATCCCTTTTTTGGACCCCTGTGTCGTTTCACGCCCGACGATTCGACTTGCAATGCTACGCCCCCAAATCGGAAAACACAGAGCGGGGGAGTTGGTACCCCTTTTTGTGGTTTCAAGGAAACCAAACACGAAAACCAACCCATTTTGCGGGGCTCCCACATGCGGCCGTCTCAGCCTGGTTCGGTGTCACATTCGAGGCTTACCACGTCTTTCTACACCAATGGCAATGGCTCCTCAAAGGGATCTGGACTCCCAAAAATGAGTGTTCCTTTTGGTTTGGCAAGTTGAGAAAGGGTACCCTCAAAAGCAAACACGCACAACTCCACCCTTTCACTTCCTGAGTGGATTGGCCCAAAACAACCTCCGAACTTTTGGTTTACGACGGCGGTGTTTTCGGGAACCCTCCCCCCAAAAAAAATGGGTGGGCTTTCGCTTTGGGCTTCCTTTAAGCCACAAACATTGGGTACCAACTCAAAAACAATAGAACCGCGCCCATTTGCTTGGAGACGAGTGGCCTTGTGTTCTCCGATTTCAATTGGCTCTTCACATAGAAGGGGGACCAAGGCAAACTCAACTTCCACCTTAAAAGGGTGATGCTTAAAGCCAACGAACAGGGGATAGATACTGTATATTTATATATACTATACATATGCATATTATATACACACATCTAAGCCTTGGATGGCTTTCAAGAAACACGGAAAAAACAGATGTCGAACTCCATTTGGGGGGGACGGCCAAGGCAAAGCTTCTCTGAGGCCCCTGCAACTCCAACGTGCTCCTTGCGGGAGCAAGGGTCTAGACCGGCTTCTGCCGGTCTGCGAACCCAGGATAAGTGGGAGTGTGTGCCTTGTGAGGCTACCCCGTGTTGGTAGTTTTCAAAGGGAAACCGATCAATTTGTTGGGAACCTGCAACAATGTAGACCCCAGGAAACAAGCGAGTTGTTCTTGAATAAGTCAACATTTCCAACAGACACTATTTGCCATTCCCATTCGCAAGCATGCCACTCGCATTTTGTTCAGCTGAAGTGCTTCAGGTAGCCCTCATCCCTCCAATGCAAATGATTCTGCCAACCCCCGGAACCCATCTTTGTTCTGCGGGTGTTCGACTGGTTAACACGGGCTTTCTGCGGGTTTTCAACGGGTTTCCGGCAAACACAAACTGCTGTTGTGAATCTACGGGGTTTCCTTGCGGGTTACTTCCGGAGAAACATCGGGTTCCACAGCTAGCGCAAAATCATGCCACAGTTGGACTCCTCAGGTCTAAAAAGCCTCCTTTCAGCTTTCCTTTGCCCGGCGACCAAGGTCTGGTCGTCTCACCACCCCATCCCCCAAAGGACCCAATTAACGTCAATCTTTTATAGAATCTTCATGGACCAAAACCGAGCGACCCGAAAGAAAAGAAAAAACGTCGGCTTTGGAAAAGTGAGTTGCTACCAACTTTGCCCAACTCTGCTCACCACGGCACGTCTTCTGCGCAGCACATCTCCGAGCGCCCGACGATGTCCGAGGACGAGGTCTGCAGGCTGAAGACGGAGGCGTTGGGCGCATTGACCGCGTGCGAAGGCCCCGGCGCAATTGTGGTGGCTAGCACCTACGCATGGAAAAAATGGCTGTGGGTTCTTGTTGTTGAGGGGAGCCTTTTCTAGTTGGTTGAAAGGAGCACCCAGCTTTTGGCAGATTTTCCCTATCTGAAGACACCCTCATGTACCCCTTAGGAAACTCACCGAAAACCTTTGCAGCCGAAAGGTGATGTTGAAGAAACCACCAAGAAAGAACATACATGCACTCAGATGCCCAGTGGCCAGGGGAAAAAGGGCATCCTTGTTTGGTTGGCTAAAGGACGCCTTCCACAAAAAAAAGAAAGGGACAACAGGGCACAGACTGGGCACGTACACAGAACCCTGGTTGTTGTGGGCTCGGTGGGTCTCTCTTCTGGAGTTCTCTCAGCTTGTGGGTTCCGTGTTCCTGTGACTGCTTGGTATTTGGGATAGCCTGGCCTTGTTTGAGCCAAAGCAAGAGGTAACCCACCCACCCACCCACCCACCCACCCACCCACCCACACAACCACACAACCACACAACCAGCCAACCAGCCAACCAACCAACCAACCAGCCAGGAAAGACCTGTGACAGACTTTCTGAGGTACCATGAAGGAAGCAAACAAAAAACGCTTTGTGCCAGTGATGACTGCCAAAACCTTCACAATTCAAGCAGCGAAAAAGCAAAATGCTTGGAAAGAAGTGCCCTTGTCATTTTGGCGTGATCCCCTTGGCCACTCACAGCAAATCTACTAACAGCCAAGCCTTCTGTCAGGGATGTTTAAGTTTTGTTTTTTTCCAATGTGTTGGCGTTTTCAAGAAAGACGGATCACTGCAAGTCTTGTTAAACATATGGGCGTTCTTGCGCAGCCACTTCCTATGGGTCTTTGGTGTATTGTCTGAAACAGATGGGATGCCTCTGGAGGCAGCGGGAGCGCTTTGCCGGGGCGGCGACCCGGGCTGCCCGTTTTCGTTCGATGCCCTGCCAAAAGTGACCCACGGCTGGGTGAAACATACGTGGAAACCCAAGCACTAAACCAACGACCTGGATGGCCAGTGGCTGGTTGTGTCCATCCACTTTACCCCAAAATCCAGCCACAGTGACTGAACAAAGCGATCACAACTTGGCTATTCCCCTGCAAAAAGTGGCCAACGGCTGGGTGAAAAATGCGGGGAAACCCAAGCTCTAAGCCAACGAAAAGGCTAAAAGCCTAAGGATCCCGAGAACCATCGAGTGAAATCTCAGGAGAGGCCCGTCGATTTTATTGATGCCCCCCCCCCCTCCCTCTTAAAGGCAGCAGAAAGCGCAATCCACATGGGTCTGTCCCGAAGCAGGAACCAACCATTTCGAGACTGCTTTCTCAGGGGGATCAAGAGGACACCAATCACCTAGAGAACTTGGTCCGCAATGTGCAGAAGAACAACAAATGCACAGCGGATCCTTTTACCTGTATAGTAGCTGACCAAGGGCTTGCCACTCTTTCGAAACCAAAAGGAACATTGCGAAGCGTATACCTACTAAACCCGGCGCAACCGCCTGGACGCCACTCCAACCTCGTTGACCAGAAGCAAAATGCACACAGGGTTGCTGCCATCTCCGACAGAATCGATTAGAACGTAAGGCGCAAGGATTTAAAGGAAGAGTCCAGTCAATGTTGAAATTATCGGTTGCTTTCTGCTCCTGCTAAAAGTTTGACTTTGAGTGGTTTAATGGTAAACCCATTAGTTGGCAAAAAGTTAAAGTCCCAACATCCTGCAAATGCACCTCTGAATTGCTTGTTTTCTTAGGATTAGTGGCTTCGGATTTGGAATCTGGACGACTCACAGCGACGAAGGAGGCCTATTTCGGGGCGTTCTTGGCTTCAAAGTTTCGTTTTTGTTTTGTTTTTCTGGGGGGGTGGGGAGGGCCTCTTTTTGCGGGCCCCCCCTTTTTCGCTGGTCGTCTGCCTGTGAGCCATGGCCAAGGCTCCGAATCTGTCCGCTGGAATCGGTTTAGGATTAGCATGTGGATGACTGTCCCAGCCCAAGGAAAGGAACCGATGGTTTGACCATGGCATGGCCAAGCTTCACAGTTTGCCCACTGCCGAGTCCTTCCAGTTACCACGATTGTCTCTGAGGCACTCTGGAACTCAGATCTTCTATTTATTTTCGAATTCCACAGCCGTTTCATATCTAGTCATCTAGTCTACTCTACATGTTTCCCCCCACAAAAAATGAAGAACTCCAGAAATAATTTCCGGTGTTAGGTGTATCCCAGGTCCGTTTTCTCTGCGAGGAGCTCCAGTCCTCTCCTCACTTCGCTCGCGCCACGGCTCGATGGCACCAGACCGCCCATACCGCGCGCCTCCTGCGCGCGGACGCGCACGGAGATGCGCCGCTCCTCTTGCGCCGAGTGCAGCAGCAGGAAAACCTCCAAAAGCGCCCGCGTTGGGCAAAAAAACGGCGCTTCTGGTAGGAAGGGAAGGTATGCTCGCTGCCAAGGTACGCTCCCTACAATATTGGAGAGGTTTGGAAGACAAGGCTTCCTTTGGGGAACCCTAGTAAGTTAGGCACTTGTGTTCTAGCCCACGAAGCTGACATTTTGGAAGACGATCGTTTTTGGGGCCCCATGGACCAAAGACATCGCAAGAATTTCATCTGAGCATGTTTAGCTTCCAGGGGTCATCTGGTACCTCCAGAGGAAGGTAAGGGCCGAGGCTTCTTGGTCTTTTGGGTTGTTTAAAATGAAAGATTCGGCGGTTCCGGGACGGTCCTCGCCCTTGTTCAAACATATCAACCGACAATTATTTAAACAACCACCTGTTGCTGTTCTGTTCAAATGAGAAGCCCGGTTTTCCACGAAACGAGCAAAAACCACCCAAAGCGACCACCACCTACAACAAGCCACGAAGAACAGCTCCTGGAACAAACACTCAAGCAACAATGCTGGAAAAGATGGCCCGCCGAAAACCAACTCCAACACCTTTCCCTTTTCAGCAAGAACAGCCCGCGTTGGGGTGTACAATCGTCGAGCAGTCGAGCAGGATCATGGCCCAAGGAAGCAAACCATCCGAATGATCCTTATGCTTGGTTGACGTTGGAAGGGGAGCAAAAATTCAAATTTTAGCAGTTAAGTGGTTGGCCCACTAAACCACAATAAGCAAAAATGTAAAATGTGTCCCAGCAACAACCATGTATGGGCACTTGGGTAAACACAGATCACTGGAGTTTCCCACATCAAAAGTTAAAAGTTCGCCAACTCACTGGTGGATTCCATTGAAATCGCGACTTTTGGACAGTCCAAAAAGGGAATTGGCTCAGAAACCCTGCTGAACCATGCCTGAAACATGGGTGGTCCTCTTCTTGGACCACCCTAAATGGTGATTATCCTTCTGGTTTTCCTTTCCATAGAAAGAGGGGTACTAACTCAAAACAAGACGAGCCCACATGCCACAGGCCACTACCCCAGCCGCGCCCCGTGCGCCTCCTTGGTGCGTGGCAGTGGTGGCACCTGGATGGGCGGTGTGGGCACCCCGGCCTCAAAGCGAACAAAGCGAGTGAGGCGAAGGGAGTCCGTTGCCTGGTTACAACCCATATACGCCGTATACCCCACAAACATTTACTAGGTCCTCCAGTAGAGAGGATAGAAGAAGTTGGTACCATGTTTTATGTAGTCTATTGATTGGGGGGGAACCCTCCCCCCCCCCCAAAAAAAAAAAAGGTAAAAGGGCACTACTGGGGGACCTCGTTTACCCTCATGGGTGAACTATTAATATACGAATAAAAAACATACTTTATTTATATGTTACCTACCTGCACCCTCACACTACCCATCAACAAATGGATATTGCCCACCCGGCTCTGCTTGTTCCCCCCAGAGGCACTTGCTGGTTGCCCGAAAAAGGTAACACGGATCAGCGGGCCCAGGTCCCCAAAGGGTTATATTTTTGATAAGGGAAGACCCAGACCCCTGCACTAGAAAATCTGGGTTGGTGTTTGTTTGGGTGTCTCAAAACCTGGCGGCTGGAGGGCCCTAACAACTCATCGAAATGGAACCACCAACCGTTGCACGGTAAATTGGAGGCTTCTCTTGTTGGGTTGCCCGAACTATCCCCGGAGCCGAGTTGACAAGCCAAGCTGATAAGCCAAGTTGATAAGCCAAGTTGATACGGCCTTTTTTTGCGTGTTTTTTTCTTCAGGGAGTTCCGGCCTTTTCAGTAGTTCGCCGGGGGCCCATCATATCACCTCACCCGGTGTTATGGGGCGTCCAGGTTCCAAGCCCTTGAGCCGCGAGCGGCCGGGACCTGGACCCAAGGGAGCTGTCGGATCCTCGAAAATCCCAAGGAGATCCCTGGCTGGTCAGGGAAACTTGGCAAAGTGTGTGGGTTGTTTGGTTGGGACACCTAGCGATTTGTGGTTGTTTTGTTGGACTTGGGGATTCCTTCGTTCAGAACGGCAAGTGCCGTTCTGATGTCCATTTCGGGAACGAACTGGCAAATCTAGCCTATCCGTCTTCAAGGGTCCAAAGTCAATTTCCAAATCAGCTATGTCACCCGTGGTTTGTCCCATGTCCATTCCCAGCCTTCTTTCGGGGAGCTCGTTCCGCTACGTCTCAGACCATGTTTTACGGAAGGACAAAGCTGCGGATCAAGAAATCCGATTTGGTCGATTGCTCTAAGGAACACCTGGACTCGAAGAAACTACCCTTACAAAATGGGTTGCCCCAAATTATGGTTGGTGCCTTCATTTAATTTAAAGTAGTTTCCGAGTCTAGGCACAGAATCCAGCGATTTGTACCCTTATTGTCTCAATATAATTTAGCGGAACGGGCACCGGGTCCCGGGTTGTTGCATACCAAGCCCCAAGACCCAGGGTACAGGAAATTCCTAAAGGTCGCCTAGCCCCTGGTTGGTGTTGCGAGCGAACGATCTTGCCGCAAATGTTACTTTCTATGAGACCTGCACTTCTGAGCAAGCCCCACACGCAAAAACCAATATCACACAACACTAAGCGACCCCCAAAACGAACGAACCCAAGCAACCAACAACGTCACTCGACAAAACAGAAATACACAAACAAACCAACAAACAAACCAACAAACAAACAGACAGACAAACAGACAAACGGACGGACGGACGGACGGACAGACACACGGACAGAAAGTCTGACAAACAGGCAAACAAATAAAGAAACAAGCAAATGACACAATCCGACAAACACACAAAAACCACAGAACCATTCCCGGCAAAGGCCCGGAATATCGATTCCAATCGAGCTGGCTTTGGCCCAAGAGGCGCCGAGCGCAAAGCGACGGCCTCCCGCTTCCTCCTGAGGCCGTTGATCCCAATTCAAACCCCCATGGTTGGTCCCGGGAAATGTGGCGTGCCCTTTTTTGGGGGACGCCCCTAAAAATGGTGTCCTTCCGGTGTGGACACGTTTTTTGGGGAACCCCCAACAAATGTTCCTTTCGGTTGCCCTGTAAAACAGACCAACAAGGGGTACCAACTCAGAAAACGAAGACAAACAAAAAAGTGCTTCTGGCCCAGCCCGGGTTCAAGTGCCCAAGGATTCCTGTGGTGTTTGGGAGAGGGGGGTAAAAAATGGGGATGGTGAACCCGAAACCATGTAAAGAGTTACTCAGGCGGAACCTGTTTGTCGAGTGCCCCTTACTAACCTTCCCCGGGCCTCAGACTTGGCCTCTTGGGGCAAGAAGGGCCTTACCAGCTACCAAGAATCCCCAAACTGGAGGTATAAATTCCGGTGAAGGATGGGGAAACTCGTAACTCGCCCGCTCATGATACATTGCACGGAATCCGTTCTAAACCGCATTCATGTCCCCAATTTGTTGCCTGGATGTGGGGTCGAATTTCATCTGGAGGCGTCTTCCCTATGGGGGGAGGGAGGGGAGGGGGAAGGGTCCAGCTCTCATTAATCTAGGGGGTGATTCTAAGCATTATGTTCAACCATCGTTCTTGTTCAAAACCGGATCCGTTTCCCCTAGGTTTTTGGATGTTTGGATGGTTTCCTGAAAAGGTTTGGATCCCTGGAAAGAATGGAATTGGAAGGTACCCCTGGAATCAAGCCCTCAAGAAGGGCTTCTTTGAGCTCCCTTTTTCCTCCCTTTCCTCCCTGGCCCCGTGATAACAGGAACCCAGGATTCAGAAACCCGGCATGGAATGTTGCCTCGAGAGCCGGATTCCCTGCTCCTCTATTTCACTGTGGTGGTTTCGTTCAACCCGGTTCCCTAGGTTATTAGTATAAATTTATGGATTATAGATATAATAGTTATGAAGTTAACAACTATTTAAATTTATAATTTATATTCAATTTGTTAAAAATAATAATAATAACAAAGTATAATTTAATAGATATAATTAAATTTAAAATAATTTAATAGTATTTTAACTAATTTATAAATATTACTAGTATAATTAATTTATAAATTATATAATAGTTGTTATAAGTTGTTAACAATTTATATTCAATTTATTTTTTTAATTTATTTTTATGTGTTTTCCCTAGTATATTTGTTTTATGTATTTAAAACAAACAAAAAGAAAAGAACATGCTAAACACTGGATGGTGCGGATTCTGTCACAAGGTTTCAGTTGGGACATATTACATTTGGAGGGGCATGTTGAAGGGTTCACGAAAAAAGAACAAGTTGAGAACCAAGGAAAAACCCATCAAATCCAAAGAACAACCCTCAACATCAAGAAGAACACCCAAACGCGGGAAACCCAAGCCTGAGGTTTTCAGGGAGAACCAGGAACAAAAACCCATCGAACATCAACCGGAGGATGGCTTTCCGGGTCGCCAAGCGGGAAAGCTCCGGCTCAGGCCTCGAAGTCCAACAGCAGGCCATTCTCCTCATAGAGCGCCACCAGCCGAACCTTCGGTGCGAATTCTCAGATGCCGACGAAAAAAACGAAAACGATCAACCAGAGGAATTCCTGTCAAAGATCTAGCCGTCTTCCAACCCCCCCCCCAAAAAAAAAAGGGTCCTTCTTGACTTTGCTTTTGGCTGAAGGAACATCGGCCAGAGGATTGCCTGCCTTTGTGGGGATCCTGGAAGATCAAGGCTAGGGGTTATTTGGGGCCCCGGCCATGACCATGCGTAACTTTTCCCATGCGGGAAGTATCAAATATTTTTAGTGGTGATCATGGTGATCCCCAATGGTCATCCCATGTAAAGGATCTTTTGATCTACAAACCAACCCTGGTAGGTTTTCCTTTGGTTTCCCTTTCACAATTGTTAAAAAAAGACCCTTATCCATATGACCACTCTCCCTGGACTCGGAAATTTTGGCCATACCAACAGCGGTCAGCGATTTCTGGTGACAACCCCAACACGGCCCGTGTACCTGGACACTCGAGCTACCCTTTAAAAAAAACTATTGGTGCTGAATTCTTCCATTTGCTGAAAGTACGAATACCATCCCTCCCACGTCGCCATGGCAACTGAGAAGCGCCCGGTCCCTTCAAAGGGAAATCAATCTTCCAGGTACCTCCCCACATGTGCCGTATTAATTAGTTGAGGAAGGGTATGTTTTGTATTCTCTGCTGTTCATTTTAAAGCGATTTTGCCACTATTGGAAATACTATGTTTTTTGAAGGACCCTCAAACTACCCATAAACATGGGATGTTGCCGCGAAAAATAATGGGGCACTAGTCCCGAAGTGAGCTGCTTAACACCAAACTAAAATACACTGTGGAAATCACAGCTCGCAACATCTTGAAACGACTTTGATCAAACAAGCGGGCCCTTTTCCGGGGCTCCTGCAAAGGATATTGGAAAATTGGGAAGGGGGTCCTACCCCGTGTTTGTGAGGCAAACAAAAAGTGGCATGTCCCAGAAGCTCGTAGACCCTTCTACTTCGGATCCTTGCACACTGGAAATGCCCTCAAGGGCTTTCTGTGAAGGCCAAAAGGGGCAGTCAAAGCACGCCAACAAAACAAGCGACATTTCTCCCTGCATCACTCAAAGGGTTGACTTTGCTTGCCCGAAGCCTCCCGACTCTTGCCCGAGCCTTCAAACAGGCCTTCAAACAAGAAGCCGCATAATTTGTGGGGAATATCCTTCAGGGGTCGGAACCTTTCTGGAGTCCATAAGCGTCTGTGCGGTCCTTGACCATGGAAAAGTAACCCCGTTTGTTTCTCTTGGAGTTGAACTGAAAGAGAAGCTGACAATACCTACCTTTGATCTTGCCAACATGTCAGGGTTCAATTCTGGGCCATATCTACGTACAATGAACCCTAAAACGAAAAATAAGTTCAACACCCCTGGGTTACATTGTCTTCTTACAACTAGGCTGCCCTCAGATCTTCTGCTAAAGGTTTAACTTTTAGTGTGTTAAATGCAAACCCCCAGTAAGCGCTAAAATCTAGGGGTTGATTCCCCATTCTTTTCAACCATCGCTCTTCTCAAAAACCGGCTGTTTCCCCTGGTTTTTGAAGGTTTCCTGAAAAGGTTCGGATCCCTGAAAAGAACGGGAAGGTACCCCTAGAAAACCCTGAAAACCTCATCGGGCGGCTGGGAACCGCCAACTTCAAGCAGCTCAAGCAAACTCAAAGTGACCCCGAAGGCGATGGTTCAAGCCAAAAGGAGATGACAGGTACCAGCCAACTAAAGAGAGGGGCGCTACTCGCTTGCGAGGAACATGTCCAAAAACATGCAACCGCAAGACAAAAAGTAGTCGCCGAGTTGTTTGTTCTCTCCCCACAAACCTGGCGCTTCCCTTGGGTTGGAGTGTCTACGCAAACAAACACCATGGAAATCCTAGCGGCTTTGAGGTTGCCCTTGCCTCCTCGTCAGTCGCCAGCACGCTGAATGTGTCGTTGCCTCCAAGGTCTTCCGGGGTCCCTGTGCCTGCGGCGAGTTTTGGACCCGGCAACCAATTCGTTGGGTGCCGAAAGGGTTCTGAGATCGGATGCTTCCACTTGCTTAAGCCCCCTCAACATATGTCCAGCAGTGATAGATGCCCTGCAAAACCAACAAGGGAAGATATATTATTATTATTATTATTCTCAGTAGTAGTAGTAGTGGTAGTAGTAGTAGTAGTAGTAGTAGTAGTAGTAGTAGTCGCAGTCGTAGTAGTAGTAGTAGTAGTAGTAGTAGTCGTAGTAGTAGTAGTAGTAGTAGTAGTAGTAGTAGTAGTAGTAGTAGTAGTAGTAGTAGTAGTAGTAGTAGTAGTAGTAGTAGTAGTAGTAGTAGTAGTAGTAGTAGTAGTAGTAGTAGTAGTAGTAGTAGTAGTAGTAGTAGTAGTAGTAGTAGTATATATTATTATTATTGTTTGTTTATTTATATTTATTTCTAAGAAAAAGTATTTCGTCTGAAAAGAGGCCATGGGTCAGGTCGCAAGCCAGAACTTTTGCGCAGTCGGCACAGTTCGCCTCCTATAGCCGGCATGCTAAGAAGTCCCGAGTTGTTTGACTCATCGAACGTGTTTTGATCATTCGTGCGGTTGGGGCCTAAAAGCTGCTGAGACGCTTGGCTCGATGAATGTCAAGGGTACGAATAGATCTGCCTCGCCCAATTTTCGCGTGGGTTCCCACCAAAGTGTTCATTGTGAACTTGTAGCCAAATACACTTTTTCTCACTAACATAGTGTGCATGGACAACTTCATGTAGGCCGCAGGTGGCTTCCAGTTTTTGGGTATCATTCATCCACATTATCTACCAGGTACATGGATCAATTTCTTGGAGACACCCTCCGTGCCACGCCTCCGATGACTTCCAGCTTGATGTCTGCCTGACGGACCAACCAGCAGCGATCACCCTCACAGGTTTTCACTTTTGCCAAGCTCAACATGTTCCACGCTCCAAATAAATATCACCTACAAAAGATGCACCAGTCACAACCATAACCATGCTCCCAACAAAACAACAAAACAACAACAAAGTCAAGCCAAAAGTCATGCTTCAGCAAATCCAAGCAATCCCTCTTCCCCTCCTCCCCTCACAAACATGGGTTCTGAGCAGCACTAGCTCCTCATCAACTCAAGGTGAGACACTTTTCTCGGCGAAGTTGGATACAGCCAGCTCCCTTCATTCCCTTCCAACCACCAGCTAGGTACGATGGGATGACTCACTTCCTATTGGCCCGCACGGCAAGCGTCATGAACATCACCCCAACAAAAGACATCTCACTTAAACGCTCCCGATTGATTTAGGGTTCTCAAACAGCCAGGTTTTGAGACCCCAAACACCGGCTAGCGGGGTGTCTAATGGAGGGGTCTCAGTCTTCCAGTGAAAGCCCCAGCCTTTGGGATTTCATTTGCCCAAAAGGCTCTTTGAACAACACCCCCCCTCCCAGCAAAAAGAACGTTGCTCTGAATTGGACCAGAAGGTGCTGATTGAAGCCACCCAAGGGGGATAGAAAGGAAAGCCGATTCCGCAAACGGGCTGTTGTGGCTTTGTGTTTGTGAATGGCACGAATCCATCTCTCAGTGACAGATTGAAACCCAACAAAGCGCTGCAGCAAGCAAGGGTTCCCTGGGTACCCTGTTTCCAATCATGGAAGCTGACGATCGGGTTTTGGAAAACGAAAGTGCTCTAGGCCGCGAACGTCACCTTCCATGAGTGTTGGAAAGAGGGTTCATCTGAAACATATTGGCACGTGTCCAAAAAGGACAGCAATTCTCGTGGCTATCCTTTTGGCTTCCCTTTCAGAACAAGGGTACCCTCAAAACACACATCCATATGTGTCGGTTGAGTTCCATCGGCAAGGCACCTCGATTGGTGAGGTCGCAAGCGTCTGTGATGTCGACCCGACTTGCCCGGAAGAGACTCTTGGAAATTACCGGTTGCAAGGAAGGTTCTTATTAATTTCCTTGAACCTCCACCGATTGTCCAATTAAGTCCACCAGGTTCACTTTCGGAATTACCCGTTGCCCCTGCTTTCTTTAAGGTCAACCAGGTGCAGTTCATTGGTGGACCCCCTCACAAGTGTGACACCCCCCGATTATATCTGGGATTTGTCCAATCGGACCTGCATGTTTATATTCGCTGGTGACCAAGGGAAGCCCCTGGACCCTCCAAAACTGTCCTTGAACATAGGGCTGCAACCCCAAATTCTGGTTGGTGCTTCAACCCTTAAAATTGGATAAGATGATAAGAGGGGTTGCGCCACCAATTCTGGCTGGTGAACTCCTCAGTACCTGGACCCTCAAACCCTTAGCAATGGATGACTGTATGGGTCGCAACCCCATGTTGAAATGTCCTGCCCCCCTACTCCAAACACTCACTTTCTTTAGGGTACTGTTTTTTTCAAATCCTGGGTTTCCATGGTAAATACCTCATTTTTTTTGCTAGAGGGTCGACATGAAACCCGAAAAACAACTGGTAAAGTCCACACATGTTGGTTGACATCTGGGTTCAAAACCCCTTAACAACGGATGAGTTTTTGGGTTCTCGCAACCCCAAATTTTGGTTGAAATCCTGACGGTCCGGGTAGACCTCCCGGCCTTGGCGAGGTCCACAGTGCTCTGAAGGCTGAGTTCGATGCTGTGCCGCTTGCCCTGCAAGCCGCAAGCTGGGGTTTCCGAGGCGGGGGGGTGGGGTGGGGTGGGGTGGGTGGGGTGGGGTGGGGTGGGGCGGGGTGGGGCGGGGTGGGGCGGGGTGGGGGTGGGGGTGGGAGGTAAAAGCGAGAAATGGGTGTGCCCGGACCCTCGGAATTTTCCATCAAACAAGGAAATTAACCAAGAATGTTGGGGCAATATCCCATCTTTGAGGTACTGGTACATGGCTCAGTGCATCAGTTGACGCTATACAAGGCTCCCGTCTTTGTTGACCTCTTGGTTTCCCCTGGCTAACTGGACTGGGGCATCATGTCCAATTGTTTTGTCGGCAAGGACACGTTGCCGATCTTTAGATGAACCAAGAATATGAGCCAAAGATGGGGTGACGTGTGGTAAGTTGGATTGGTTTGGGATACAATCAAAGATGCCGTGTCATATATGAGCCGCTATCAGAGTGCGCTTGTCCGAAAGGACATTGGAGAATGAGCGAGGTACTGTTGTTTGGCCGGGTGTGAGCTGTCAGTGTCCCTCCCAAATGGACCAGACTACTGTACGTTTTGACCAAACCGCAACGCCCCAAAAACCATTGACTTTGGTACTAAGACACTTATCAACATTTACATCAGCCTTACTGTCGTCCCGAAAGAAACCAGGTAGGAACCAAACCACCTACAAGAATGGCCCTTTCGGGGTTTTCGGCGCCGCTCATATGGGTGTGTGCTTTCTTTGAGGGTAACTCCTTTCAAGTGATGTGTAAGGGGAAAGCACAAAGAAACACACCATTTTTGGGGCACCTCTAACCAAGTGATTCTGACACATCCATGACCCCATTATTTTGGGCAATGCCCACCCATTTGTTTAAGGGCCATGGAGACTCCAGGCACTTGGTATTTTAAGACACGTGTCGAAATCTCTTCGCTTCCCTAGCGACCCGGCGAGTTCGGTGTCCTCTTTCCCTTTAAACCAGCCCACAAGGCTTGTGGGTACCTGGAGTCTCCACCCCTAGAAAAAGGGGTCATGACCCCTGAATTTTGGGTCATGACCCCATTTTTAAAGGGTCATGGAGACTGCTGGTACCAGGTACCCTCAAACAAGACAGACTCTTGTCCTTGTGGCGCTCCGAATCCATTTATTTGAACCCGAACGGGGGCTTTTGAAGTCGGGAAGCAAAGGCCGCATCCCCAATAGGAAAGGTTCTTGAAACCTTCCAATGTTCAACGTGGCCTGCGTCCGTGTTTGCCAGTTGGTCCAAACCAAAAAGATATGAAGTCCGCAAAACGGGGAGGTGAGTGATAGAAGCGGTCCTAAGAAAAGTTCTGCGACGGAACCATTGCAACTCGCATTTCCATAAACGAAAGGCCTGCCAAACGCAGTCCACGGTGATGTCCGTCTCTCCAGACTCATCTGGCACCACCTTAGGAGCTGCGTCCTTCAAACCGTGTTTGGCTCGGCGCCGACCAAACTGCGCCAAAAAAACACCTTCGAGGGACCAAAGGAAGGCCAGCCGGCAGTCGGCGCACTGAAGGAGACGGTTTTTTTCGGGGAAACTTCTGCCATCTTTCACCCTGTGGGAAATCATGCGCGGCAAAAGCGAAACAGCCCGAATCCTGGCGACACTGAAGTGGATGAAACGGAAAAAACATGAGAACATGTGCGTGCGTGAGTCTACTTTCGCCCGGGCAACAACCCCCGACTTTGATGCGAAACAGTCAGAATCCTGGTGGCACTGTGAGTTCGTAGAAATCAACCCGGTTTGGCCATGACCAACACGGACCAAAACGGGAAAACCGAAAGGTCAGAACCTTCAGATTCGCTTTGGACAAGTGAGAAACAAAGTCAACCAAGGGGGGTTGCTCAGTGAAAAGTCAACCTGGCTAATCAAATAACCACCTGAGTACCTGCTGCTTTGGTATCTTTCTTGTCCTGTTTCGTTCGCTTCGGACGAAGTTGAGCTTCAAGCATCCATCTTTGGTGACCATCGCCGACCTAAAAGGGGAGGGGTCAAAACTGGGTACCCTTTTTGGGCCATGGTTTATGTGGGGCCCGCCTCTAAAAACGGGGTCCAAAAAAGGTGGTCCCGACTTTTGACGACCCGCCAACTTGTTGGTGCGAAATCGGCAGGGAATGAGACATGGAATGACCCTTGTACACTTGTAAACCATCCAACTGGTGGTTTCCTTTGATCGGGAATCCCAAAACGGTTCATTCCATTCCTCATGCCCTAGCGATTCGCACCGATCGCAAGCCCAAGTCCTGGCCAAGTGAAACAACCGGAAACAAACAAAACGTGTATATATATAATATATGTATTTTAAAAAAAGGAAACAAACAAAAAACAACGGAGACAATACCAAGAAAAACAAAGAAACCAAAACGCGGCAGGCGCATCCGGGAGCCAGGCCCAGGCATCCACAGTATCGCCACTGCTGGGGAGCATCTTTCCTGAGACCTGCGAGCTGAGGGCTGAAGCCCAAGCGAAGTGACAATGTTGAAGTCTTTCCAATGTTGCTTCAGGAAGAAAAAAGAAACAAAACTATTCTTTTGTTGTTGTTTGAGGGGGAACTAAAGGGAAAGTCCGATTTTATGACCCGCCCTTGTGTTTGCCGCTCTGTATGCGTGCTTGTTTGCCACCCCCCATGTTAAGCTATGAGCCCAAGGAACCATATAGCTGGGAACATCCAAGATGACGACCTGGAGACCCAGTCCCCCAGTTCCATTGTGCAACCAGCCCACCAAAAGGTGGGCTCCCCCACTTGGATGGCCACCCCAAGTGGATAATTCCCCGAAGCGGGGTCCACCCTACAACTCACTTCCAGGATTAAACACAGAATGTGGGAGCCTCGTTCTACCCTCCCTCCAACAATGGCAGTGGGTTCTGGGGGCTTCCCCAAAAGGAAAGTAGTCTTGCAAAACCCTCCGATCCTCAGCTTCCGCGAACCACCTGGAACAAAACTATGTCCAGTTGTGATAGGTTCCATTTTTGGCCAAAACAAGGAAAACAACAACAATAGTTTTATTTCAGCATTGGACGGATTCTATGTTAGTGTTTGGTAGTGTTTCAACCCGCCATCCCCTCCCGCCAGAGCGAGAAAGCCGCACAGACGCCTCAGCCTCTGCGGTGGCGGGGGAGTTGCAGGCGAACTGCAAACGCAGCTTCTGCGCGTTGGCAGACACCTGGTGCCGAAATCCACGTTTATTTGAGAAACGTAGCTAGTATTTGGGGGGGGGGGAATGAGCAAAGTCATCCACAAGTGGTAGGTGAAAGGGAAACAACCCTGTGTTCTGACTTTGATAACCGCAAGAAACGGTTAAAGAATGTACCCGGAAAAACAGCACCTACATTTACCTTAAGAGCCCCTGGTAGCTCCTACTTAAAAACAAACTGGGATACCCCTAGCTCCTTGGCTCCCTTCCAACCAAGGGAGATGCGAAGAAACCCCTTTCTGCCTTCGTCCACATGAGCAGAAAAAAAAGAAAAGAAAAAAAAAACGAGGACTGCCAGGCTGAAAGCTCATCCAAAGCCAAGAGCTTTTTGAACAAACAGTCTGAGGTTTCATTTGGGTGTGGCTCAAAATTCAACAGGAGGGGCAAACCGCAGGTTTTGGCCTTTGTTTCCACTTACCAGGGTTCCATGTTGGTACCGGTTTTTTGAGCCACAGCCATTTCGGTCTACTTTCAAAACAACTTCAACATGGACAGGCACAGTCAAACCGGGCCCGTTCGAGTGACATCCTCAAGAGACCCAACACTAAGGCTTCCCACCTCCTCGGATTGACCAACAAAACATCTAAACCCTTGTTCTGCCACCAAACTGGTACACACCCAAACAACAAGTACTCAAGTCCAGCAACTCAGGAAGTGACTCAAACATTTGAAGGAACTGCGTCCAGAGCTCAATCGTTTCGAGCCCGCTGCCTTGCCGCTGTAGAGCAGGTTATGCGACATCGCCTGGCGAGATGATTGGTGATGACCGTTTTGGTCCAAATCCATGGGGGAGCGCTTCCTCGTTTTTGGGGCAGCCCCTGAATTGGCTGGGTTTTGAACCAAATCACAATCCTTGCGCTGCTTTGAGGCAAACCTACAACCCGCCACAAGGCTCCCAAAGTCTCACTTCCGATCGAGTGCATGGCCCAAAAGCCAAACTTTGATCTTTCCCCCCAAAACCCCCACAAACTGGTGTTTAAGTTTATCTTTGCCTGTCTCTAAGTTACCTTGCCTCCACCTTAAACGTAATCCAATGGAACATCAAATGGAAATACCAAAAACAAACCCAACTTGAGGGGGAAAAAGCACGTAATCAACTGGAACATGCGATGGAAGCCCAAACTTTCAGCATGAAACCACGCCGTGCGACCTTGAAGGCAGGCTGCAGCTCCACCAGGTTGTAGAGCTCATCTTCCAGCTCCAGTCGCACGGGCCTCAAGAGACTGAGTCCTTTGTCTCCGGGTGGTCTCTCTTCTTTCTTTTTTTCCCGGATGTCACCTGCATTTTTCCAGGAGACCTCCTGAAAACTGGGAGTTTCAGGTGGTTCAAATGCATGAGACCCTGACACAAACTGGTTGTCGCTGGACTTTATGCTAAATTGCCGTGATTTGGAAGATCCTGGTTGGTTTGCAAAGGGAAATTGAAGGGAAATCAAAATGTGAGGCGGAAACCGGCTGAAAAAACGAAATGCGTGGACCAGGATCTTGAATATTCTCAATCCAAAAGGAAGCCATTTTCCCAGAGGGCCCAAGAAGGTACCCAATATGTACGGTTTTGGATGATTCCCCAAAACCGCAAATATGAGATCAAATACCGAGGGACCCTTTGGGTTTAGGGCTCTCATCTCTTTGAAAAAAGACTGTAATCATGCCCCAAATTGTGGACCGTTTCTGAGGCCACTGCGATATTCCTCGAGAGTGAGAGAAGAAACGTCAAAAGGCTCTCTAACCCGAAAAGGAGTGTCCTTCCTGCAAAATCCCAAACAATCCATGTATGCAACATTCACCCACGTTTGCCTCCAAATTGGTCAAATGTTGGTGTGTACCTAGGGCTTCAAGAACCTGTAAAAATGGCGTACCCTGACTAAAACATTGTGTTTTTCTCGATTTTCTGAAAACATCCTGTTTGCAGTAAAAAACATCGTGTGTTTGATACAACCCCTTAAAAATGGGCTTCTGAGGCCAAACACTCATTCGGATCAAAGGGTCAAAGGCAAGGGCCGGGAGTGGAATTCACACAGGCATCACCCATTAAGATTTCAAATGAGGGGCAGGGCTCTATACTGAATATGCTTCAAATTCTAAGGCCCACATTGATGAGCCTGACATCCACGGTGCGCAGCTGGCTTCAGTCTTTGATTAGGCACCTGAAGACTGGCACCGGGTCATACCGAACCAGTTTGAAGGGGTGCTGGAATCCCAAAGCTCCTTTTGGTGCACAAACAAGACCAGGTGACACCTTTTGAGACTTCATGGACTGTGTGGGAATTGCCGCGTGTTGCGTGCCCTGTGAATCTGTAGGCAAGGCCTTCGCAGAAGGAAAGGTTTCAGAATACTTCCAAAACCTGAGGGTAAGTGATCCCTAAACACCTGCATCATAAGCCTGTACTGCGCCCAAGTGAGCTCACCTGGTCGTAAAAATAGGAAGAGTACATGCCAAGCGCTTGTTAGCAAAAACTCCTTAAGGGTTGCGCTTTGGTTGTTTATCCATTCCCAAAGCTGCAATTGGAAAGTGGGACACACTCCCTTTTGCTTGATTTTCAAGAGGGAGGTTCTCCAAATCAGTGGGTCCCAATCAGGAGGCCTCAGTCAGGTTCCATGCTGAGTGATGGGAGTTGGTCTAAACCAACAGGACACTGCCCCAGAGAAGAGGTCCCCCTCCCATTCTTGAACAAAGGGTGTGTCTCTAAATGGCGAAACTGCCAGAATTGTTGAACCCCGCACTCCAACAAAATACATTTAAATTTCTAAATTGCCACGTCCTCACAGCTCCGAGCCCGGCTCCCTACTTCAAAGCCACTTGGGATACCAGCTCCGAGTCCGGCCGGCTCGCTCCTTTTCGCTTTCGCGAGATGCGACTGCCTCATGGCATCCTGCGGTCTGCGGCTGCATAAGTGGGTGGCAGGTTGATGTCCTGCCGCGTTCCGGCGAGCGGGCGATTCACAGGTGACATCCCCCCATTTTTGCTTTTTTCGACATGGGTGTGTCTTGCTTTGGAGTTTGTCCCTCTTCTTGGTGTTTTGTTGAAAGGGGCCAAAAGGAACACCACCATCTTGGAGGGTCCCCTAACAAAGGACACACCCAAATGGCTTTCAGCACCCTTCAGCACGTTCACTTTGAGGGACCCAGATTGCGGGCCGTACTTCAGCCGAAGTACACGTAAACAAAAACAAAAAAACGGAGGCATTTGAGGGGCGAACAGCCAGCTATCCATGTGCCCTAGGGTTCCTTGCCCCCATTATTAGAATGGCTGACCCAATATGATGACAATCCTTACAGTAGGTAACATGGTGGTTCTTTGAACCCCCATTATTTTATTGGTGGTTTGAACCTCAGTGTGGGGTCTTCGAAATTGGGAATCCATTGTAAAAGTGGCTTTGAACTATGTCCAACTTCACTGCAGGCTGCCTTTCTGGGGCGTGTCAGGTACCAAATAACTTACAAACATTGGTAACAGGGAAGCCCTAGCAGTCATGCTCGTTTGACCCGACTAGCTCCTAAAAGCACGTGCCCAAATTGATGTGTTCTTCCCTGAGCAAAAGGTCGGTCGGCTTTCAGCACCTGCACCCTCAGACTAGCCACAAAGATGGGATGTTGTCCAAGATAATGAGTGAGTTCCATTCTTGGAGTAAACACCCCCCTCCTTCATCCGCCAGGTTGATTCCGGGGTCAAGGTGGAGCGTTTGTTCGGGACAGGGTCCTTCATAAATCCACTGAAAGGGAGCGTCGGTAAAGACAATGCCAATTGGCTCAATCCCAGCGGTACACCAATTTTGTGAAATTTTGTGGCAAGCCAATTTTATGTGTACTGTTTGAGGGTCCAGGTGTTTTTTTTGGTTACCAACTAGAAAAAAGGTAGGCCCCGCAAGAAAATCCTAAAACACAAAGAACACACCAACCATCGCCAACCAAAATTATACAGGTGGTTCCCTTGGTTGCCAACTGTCATGGACCTCCACATAATTCGTCACTCATTTCGACAGAAGAGGTCCTGGTCCCCCATGAGGCCCCACTTGATGTAGTCCTGGCAGCGATTCAGCGCTTTGTCGCCCCACAAAAGCTGCATCATGGTGTCTTTTAGAGCCAGTAGCTATTCTTTCAGAGTTGGAATTTGAAAGGATACCAAAAGGACAACCACGATTTGAGAGCATACCAAAAGGACAACCACGATTTGAGAGCATACCAAAAGGACAACCACACTTTTGTTTGGACCGTGTTAGTTCTATTTTTCACACACTACACATCCCCATGGATCCGAATCTTTTCAAAGTGAGGACTCCCAAAGGGCTTCTTGGAGGAAGGAAAGCGCCAAATATGCGGTTTGGGGTTCATGCCACACTATCACTCGCTGGTTTGATAGGCAGGGAATGCGGGAATGACCGTTATAAACCATCCTTTGCGGTTTCCTTTAAGGAAATCCCTAGGTTCATTCCCTCATTCCCTGCTGAGCACCAGCAAGATCAGTTTGCCAGTCGCCACGCCCGAGTAACCAAAGCAAACGGAAGCAAGAAACACCTCCGACGATCATTCATCTGGGGGAAGCTTCCTCTTTCTTTCCAGGGATCCTTCTTTTCAGGAAACCGTCAAAAACCCAAGTGGAACAGCTGGTCTTTGAAAAGAACGATGCTTGAAAAGAATGGATAAGGAATCCAACCCTAAGAGCCCTCCGTTTGCCAGTTGCATTTACCCAGCTTTCAGGATTATGCCCACAACGGATGGACACCAACGGACCAAACAGCGGCACCCATAGCCTGGGGCTAAAGGAAGACCCAGACTCCACTAGACACCCCGGCAACGGTGTTTGGGGGTCTCAAAACATGGCTGGTCCTCAGGGCAATTCAAACGTCGAATCCAACCAAAACAACTCGAATGCCGTACCTTCCGCACTCTGTTCAGGAATCCTTCTCTTCAAAAGATGTGCCAATCCCATGACAAAATTAATGTGTTTTGTTAAAGAAGATGATGGGCTAAGATAATGGGGAATTAACCCTTACAACATGAAAACCACAAAGCAACAAATAGCTGCGCACACACTGTTTCCTCCAACTACCAAGAAGACGACGCTGTTGAATCGGACCGGTTTAATGTGTAAGGAACTGGTCCAGGTTTCCTCACCACACAAGTCGAACGGCTTCAACAAAATAACAGTCCCACGAATCGAGGAAGCCCGCCCACTCCAATAAAACCACACAAATCAAGCCCATGTTCAGGTGTGCTCTTGGAGGAGTTGATATACCGCTTCGGGAACCAACCTGCCCTGTTGCTTAGCGCTATATAACCTCTACGCCTGAACACAGCAAACCAGATATGCTTGGTCTTGGTCTACAACTCGCTCACCTTACAAAGTAAAGTAAGAAGATTACGGGAAATCCCAGTCAGCGCAGTTTTGGATTCTTTCAGCCCTGTCCTCGCCCTCTGCTGCTTTGTACTCATCGCTCAGCGACACGACCACCTGACACACAAAACGAGCATTGCCGTCTGCAGAGTCTATAGAGGGATCTGCTTTTGGCCCCCCCCCCCCCATTTCAAGTTCCATGTTAGCTTTGGCAGAAAAAGTGTAAGTTAGGGGTCATGGTCCGCAGTCCGCAGACTGCCTAAAGAAATGCAAAGACTCCAGGCACTTTCCAAAGAACGAATCATTCTCCGGTCCGCCTCGGATTCTTCCGGCTTGGTATTTCTCTCCCCGGAATCTGATAACCCTGCTATCGTGGGGGGGTGCAACAAAAAGGCCCTCAGGAAAGCGGCCTTGGTGAAACATCGCTTTGGTGTGTTGGATTTCCCAATTCCAGGCAAGCCAATGGACACCCAACCACTAAACCAACTAAAAGCCTAACAACCTAAGGGGACGGCTGGGAACCAGCAGGTAAACAGTTCGCAACCAGCAAATGGATTCTACAAGGTTTCCACTGGTTAGTGGTTCTCTGTACGGAGGCTTTACACTTGGAAAGTGTCAACACTCCTCGGAGTCCCGCCCCCCCACAAAACATGATGAAACTCACAAAATAGCACCCTATAGTTTTTTTTCCATAGAAAATACAGATATTGATCCGCATATGAAAATATATGGATGGATCAATGGATCCCAACTGCTCAGTTGCCAATTCGATTCGCCTCCTTGGCATGGTCAAACTCGTCGAGGCTCTCTGCGAAGAGGGACTCCTGCCTGCGCCAAAGAATCGGATGGCCCTCGCGGCGCGCGGCTCGCGGCTCGCTGATTGAGTGGGATTGGCAAGAAATAACACGTCGACCTGAGGGTCCCTCAGACTACACAGAAAAAAGGGCTTGTGGACCCCATAGGTTTGTTTTCTTGTGGTTTGAAGGTCCAGGCAAGAGGGACCCTCTTGACCTTTGAGGTCTAGGTCAATGGCCCCAGGGTCTGGGGATCCACTCGAATGGTCCAAAGTGAGCTTTGGTGCAGAAACTTGGGGAAGTAAAGCCCAAGTACGCTCCTGTCCCTTTCCTGAGTGGATTGGCCAAACATGTGTAATTTTCCACCAAATGCTCTTGTTCAAGAAAATAAACCTTCCTGGAGGACAACAGTTTAAGAGTTGGTTACCTCTTGGTTTGCTTCCTAATTTCAAAACGCCGGCTCCAAAAGCCCAGGCTTGGAACCCCTAAACTCGCGTAGGATCTGGTGAATCCTTGATCGTGTTCCGTTTCCTTGAGGCAAAGTAGCCTTCCCCACTCCGGAAACTCAGTACTGAGCCGGAAAAATACGGAAAAAACTCGACGTGCCCCGTGCTAGGCCTGTAGTTCTCCAAGAAGGCGTTGCGGCTCCGCAGCTTCTCGTACCTAAGAGATCATGGCCCTACCCCTAGGTGTCCTTTCGGACGACTGGGTCATTATTTTCACGGTTTCTGGGGGTTATCAGTGTCAGAAAATGGTTGGTTGTTTCCCTTTAACCCACCACTGAACGGGGTGACTCTGATCATGGTAAAAAAACAAAAACAAAAACATGAGGCTAGGTCAACCGGCGGAGTTCCAGTGGTAAATTATTGGAAGCAATCTGAAAGCTGGGGAACTCATCACTGTTCAACCAAACTCACCGAACGTTGGCTTCGCTCTTCAACCTTGTCGCCTAGGGAAAAACGGTAGATCAAAAGCATTAGATGATTATATTAAGCAAGGCGCTGAGTATAACAAAAGACAACACTAAGGAGAACAATTTTGGAGGGCAATCCCAGGCAAACACTGCTCAAATGGCTTTAAGAGCAAACACAAAAACATATTTCTGGCAGTGCAAACGAGAAATATACCAAAGATCAGCAACCAGCTGCCCAATGAAAAGTCTGAAGGCTGCCAATGAAGCAACCAGCTGCCCAAAGAACAGTCTGGAGGCTCGAGTCACACAGAGTTGGATCCTAGCCCTCCAACGCAAATGCCACACACCACGAACATCCATGCACACACGCATATAGCGGCCAGTACCAAGACAAGTACTGGGTAACCAACCTTTACAATTATTGTCGCTGCTCACTGCAGTTTTAGGCAATCTGCTTCGTTTCCGCATAAAATTTGGGCTCCTGAACGACATGTTTGGCAACGTTGGTGGCCGTTTCGATTTTGAAGGTCCGGCCGGATATCGACAGTCGGGGCAATGGGGGTTCAGCTGTTGGGTTATCCAATGTTTGGGCGCATTTACAGGACACCTCAAATAGGCCCTAATTAATTAAAGACATGGGACAGGTGTCGTTAAGGCCCTACTTCGACCCTCAAACTACCCTTAAACTAAACATGGGTTGTTCCCCCAAAACTATGGGGTGATTTCCCTTTTGAAGGTAGTTTGAGAGTCCAGGTAGAAAGCGTCTTTCAGGGCGCGCCATTGCCAGGCCCCCTAGCCAAACAAACCAAGTCCGAGTCCGAGCAACTGCTTGACGCAGCGGTCGAAGAGCTGGCAGATGGCCGTGTGGTTCGCCAGCATCAAGCCATTCACCTGGCAACTGGCCGGCACGCGCCGAAAAAATGGCGAAACACTACGGATTTTGAGCGTCGAACTCCTTCGCAACCAGCATGCTGCTCAACAATTTGATATATACCCTAAATGTCTTGCCAGTGTTGCAACAACCATTGCTAACAATAGAAACTATCAGAGATAAGTGTGCCACCAATCAAGGAGCCTGCAATGTTCACGGATGAAGAGACACCTCCAGATGAAACCAAAGGGTGGCACTCCCTTGTAAAGAAACAATCGAAACGATCTAGTCTTGAAAATTCCACAAAGCAGAACGTGTTTTCTGCTTTCCGCATGAATGATAATGTCGGCATATGGCCTTGCATTGTTGCTCAGGGTAATCCATTGTTGTGCTTTCAAAGAGAATTCAAAAGGAATCAACCAATTGAAAAGAGGAGACCCTGTGAAATATAATTTTGTCCAGACAAAATCCATCCGAAGAGATTGCTCCTTCCCACCTTCCCTCCCTCCCTTCTCCTCCCTCCCCCCACTCACCCCTCCCTCCCCGTCTCCCCCTCTCCCACCCACCCCTCCCCTTTCCCTCCCAACCCCCCCTCCCAACCCCCCCTCCCACCCCCACCCTCCCCCCCCTCCCACCCCTTTCCCCCCCTCCCGCCTTGTGGGCCTGCTGCAGGTACGGACTCTGCCTGGACAGCGCCACCTGGATGGAGGCCGGGCCCCAGCGGATGAACTTCGCCAGCTTCCGCTCCCGGATCCTATTGGAAATTGAAGCGGACGAAAAAAAGAAGGATTCAATCCAACACAACCCATGTAGGTAGTGTAATTTATATATATATATATATAACATGTGTACATATATATATATAAGTACATATATGTACATGTGTATATATATATATATATGTAATAGTATATATATATATATGTATATATGTACTATGTACAGTACATTTAACCTGTGATTAGCGGGTTTCGGGGTGTGTTTAGGTTGGGCTTAGGGCCAGGGTTAGTTTAGGCTGGGTTTAGTGTTGGTTTAGCTTGGTTCAGGGTGGGTTTGGCCTACACCTTTTGAACCGGGCCTAAACCTGGACCAAAGGAGAAGCCAAAGGGTGAAAGGGCGAATTCGCTTTGGACGCTTGGCAGTCTATGTCCGCAAGTAAAGCTAATTATGAAATCTTGTCGAGGGAAGCGTGCCATGTGTCACCCAACTGCAAGCTCGTCCGTCCCGTCCTCTGAAGGCTTTTGTGCACCTGCGTTGGGTCCACGTCTCCCTGGATGATGTTGAGGATGGATATGTAGACCTCGCCACGCGTGGCGCTTTTCTGCCGAAACAAGGAGTGTAGCCCACCAAAGGGCACTGCGACATGCAGGCCCCTGCTTTGTTTGGTAAACCATTGCAGGTATCATCAAAGGAAAGGGAAGCAACTGGCAACTGTGCAAGGGAACAATCAGAAACGGCCGTCTGAATTCAGCTCCTTGACCTTCTACCAATTTGACCAACACTCTGTGCTTTCTGCATACTGCGTCCAATTCTGCCCCCCCCCCCCTCCCCCCGAAATGGCTTTGGTAGTTTTCCCTGATGACTTCCCTCTCAATACTGGTCCACACACATGGGTACTATTTGAAGCAATCCTTCCGGGGGATTGGATGGTCTCTGGGGTCTGCACTGGGTTCTGGGGTGACCCTTAGGGTGTTAGAGAACCTTGACTGAATTGTGGCTTGCTTCAGGTTTCTGCCAAGCTGTCTGACACTATGGGAATCCACCAAAACAGAACATGGAACTACACCAGCACGCCCTAACAACTGCCTGAGTTTTCCCAGGTCCAAAATCCCAAGTACAGTAACCAAAAAGCAGTTGTTTGGGACTCGGGTGCAGGCAAGTAAGGCAAGTAAAACTCCACTGTGCAATCCATCCTCGCCCAATTTCATTCAGGGTGGGGCCATTTCTGGCTCCTGAACAAGATCTTTGCTTCCGAAAACAAAACAAAAAAAGCTCGCCACACCAAGCGGCGCCCCGGCGCGTCGAGCAAGAGACCATGATGTTCTTGGTGTGCAGCAGCCGCCGCATCACGTCCAGCACCTCGCATTGGCTCGTCTTTTTTTAGGGCACCCTGGCAGGGGGTATATACACACTGCAGCTACTGTTATACTTTACACAATCTGAAAGTGGGTCGGTCTTTTTTCGGCGGACCCGTTTTGGGATGGTTTCGAAGGGAAACACAAAGGAAAACCTGTTTTTGTTGCGGGGGTCCGATTCCCAAAAAAAGAAACAAGACACACCCAAAAATGTCCTCTGCGGGTTCAACTCTCATTGTGTCACGCGCTAGGATTCAAGGCAAGTCAACGACACACACACACACACAAACAATCTTTGGGGTGCCCTTCTTGCCAAAGTAGGGCTACATACTCCCAAACAGTTTTGTGCTTCTCTGAACCAAGGGGAAACTGTACTAACTAAACAAAGAGACACACACACACACACCCATGCATTGTGCTGCTAAATTGACACGGGAGGCTCCGAATGTACCTGCGCCCCTGCTTGCATGTGCCATGGCCAAAACTCCTCAGGCCATTGTCATTGCTCCCTCAGTAGGAACCTTTACATGGTTCAGTTCTCTAAAAGCCTTGCGTCTACCATCCGAACCCCAGGAACTGGTTCCTTTGACCATTGTACATAACTAGTGTAGGGCAACTAAGGGCATGTGGTTCGTGGAGACTTGCCCACTTCTTGGTCATCCATATGCGAGTTTGCCACCTGCAAGTCGTTTTTCTTGAGAAGGTCGCAACAAACCCCCAGGTTCGCAATCAGACAGGAAACGACAAAAGAACCACGCGAAGATCATCTCAGCTTCGGCGATTCCCTCGATCTGAAAACTGATACGTCTATGAAATACGTAGACTCCCTTTTGTCTGGTGCATTTGAGGGGTGTTTGGCGGACCGGGAACCAATCAGCGGTGTGATTTGAGTGGGAAATGATCCATTTGAGGGATCCCTCTGACTGGTCTCTCCTGGAATCAAACACGAACATGGATCTGGGGAACCTGGGTCGGTTTATCATAATATGTCACAATTCCCCCGAAAAAATAGACCAACCTTCGGCAAATGGGTGTGTGTGTGTGTTGTTTTGAGGGTCTATTTTGGATGGCTAAGAGGAAAGCCGAAAGGAAGACCACAATGCTTGGGGGTCGTTGCATACCAATCCCTCGCAAGAAACATATTGCCCCTGGGTCTGTCTCTAAAAGAACAGCTGAAATCCCTGGCTTCCCGTTTGACACGCCCCCACAAAAGAGGAAACGAGGCAAGCCAACGAGGCGCAATCAGGGACCAACGTGGTCGGTTCTCTCTTGCCTTTCTTTTCAAACTAACCAAAACTGGGCCCTCCCCAGCAAAAAACAGATAACATACCCCATGTCCTTTGCTGTTCAGCGGTGGTTTCCCTCTTTCTACCAAACAAAGCTTGACAAAGGGCACTAACCAAACCAAGGCTCTCCCCAGAAAAAAAAAGACAACAACATGCCCGATTTTGTTTGGTGTCCAGTGGTTTTCCTGCAAAAAGCATGGTGCACAAAGGGAAACCCAAGCACCAAATCATGGCTCCACTGCCATTATGCTTGCTTCGGCGCTGTGGTCTTTCGGACCGTCGAGGTGTGGCGGTCGATTGTGAGCGGCGTGTAGCCCGTCATCAAAAAGTGGCACTTGGGCGTGGGGATGAGCGAGGCCAGCATGCCGATCCTCAGCCCAGCGAGCCGCACTCATGGATGGGTCTGTGTGTGTGAGAGAAGAGCCGCGGTCTCCATGTCGTTATATTTGTCGTAGGCTTCCTGGAAGTCAATTCATACTTACAAGAATGAATATCAAAAATAGTCAAAATCGTTCATGCAGTCCTGATGGGTGTGTGTGTGTGTGGCTGTGAGAGAATGGGGGAACCCCCCCCCAAATTGAGCGGTTTCCCTGTGGGTTGCCTTTAAGCCAACCCCCGAAAAGGGTTAGAAAAGCACCTCCACATTAGCACGTACTCATGAAACTTGATAACATAAACTCACATCGGCCAGCCCAGTTTCAGATAAAAACCACACTTGGCACCAGTTGGGATGGATGAAGGACTATTCCAATACTGGGATAAGCCAACTACCATCTGGTGCATGCACAAGTCGGTTACCTCGTTGACGGCTTCTCCTGATGACCGACTATGGCGCCACGAAGCACGCGGTCAAGATGCCTTGTGCTCCCGACTCGCTTTGGATCGTGACTTTGTCCAAGGTTTCGGACTGCTCTTCCCGCCTGCCTGAACATACCTGAACCAACAGGATCGGTGCAGGACCTAAGGCATACCCGCCAAATTCCCCTTGAAGGGAAGGCGCCCAGGTGTCCTTTGGGTAAAATCGATTCCCTAGTTAATGGTCTATGAAACCAAGCTAAACGAGTGGAGAACGCATCTATTTCTAACCTTGCTAACCGATCAAAAGGCCACCTATGACTCACCCCATAGTTTTGGGGCACTAAGCCACTTTTGGCTTGGTAGCTTGATGCCTCAGGTAGACCAATACTCCAAACTCAAGGGTCTCTGTTTCTTCCCAACAAAACCCAAGTGGGTGGCTCGTCTTGTTTGGAGTTGCCTTTTTGGGGGCTTGGTTTTAGAGCGAAACCCGAGGGATACCACCGGTTCGTGGGCTTTCCCCAAACAAAAACAAGTCCAGTTGGAACTCTAGAGTCCTGGACTTGGCCCAACTACACCAAAACACACATGTCAGGAACCGTTTTTCCCCTGGAAACCTGGGTTCGTTCAATAGGTCGGTTTTTCCTCACTCACGACAAGGGGCAGGTCGTTGTTCATGTAGCCCGGGTATCTCAAGGTGGTAGTGCTGGCCGCCATCACCTCAGTTAGCCAGAGGCTCCCGGGGACCTGAAATTGGGTATGGGTCAAAAGCCCGGTTCTCCCGCAGTGAACATTCCAATCCAACCACTAAAATAGGTTCTAAAATAGGTGGTGAATTCACCTACCAACCAAAATGGGATCCCATTCGTTTTGACAGCCACAGCCATATGGGTATGGGTCAAAAATACACCAGGAAGTGGACCGAAGGTAGTCCTGGTTTCCATTTACCAGAGTTCCATTTTGGGGTTACCCTATTGTTGACCCCCACCCATATTTGCGGATTTGAGGAATCTGTAAATGATAAATCCCCCTTGAACCAAACCGAAGACCTCAAATATGGGGTACTTGGACCCTCCGGGATTGCGACACTCGAACAAAACCGACGGCTGCGAGTCTCCCATGGAAAAACCGAACCGATTGATGGGCTGCGCGATAACTATGGATGACAACGAGTCCGGGTTTTGGGGGCATGAACCGGTTTTGGGGAGTCCGGTTTTTAAAGGACGCCATGTGGGATTGTGTTTTTGTTGGAGCCGTTTTTTTATGCTGAGAATCAGCAAGTTTAGACATCACTGTGCCTACATCTGCGATCTTGTCACCTGGAAGGCAATTCAAGAAATTCCTGCAGGCATAGCATGTGTGTCAAAGGATCACGTTGGCGGGCGCTGCAAACCACACAACACAACGCACACATTCGTCGTGGCGATGCAAGACTGGCCTATGCATAGATCTGAAGCGCCAATGTGGAAGACTCTTTTCGCGTCATTTGGGTCAAGCATCTTTTAAGGGTACCTTTTTTTGTGGTGACCGGAAAACCACCATATTGGATCATATGGGGGGAGGGGGGGCCTTTAAAAAGGAGACTCACGATTCAGCGCTACCCGCCCGTACTACGCCAAGCATCCGTGGAGACCAGGGAATTGATCTGAGCAAACCTCCACGCGCGCTCGCGACAAAGCGACAAAGCGACCCTGCTGAAGGTCACAACCTGGACCCTCTCACAAACAAGATCATTTTGGGAGAATCACCCATGTTCTGCCATTTGCTGCAGCCCCGGGGAAAAATAATACTTCCAGTAGTGATAGATTCCCTTTTACACCGACAAGGGGAAAAATATTCTTAAGCAAATGGAAGTTTTAAGGGCGGTTTCTTCTGGTCCAGTAATGTTGTGTTTTTCTTGCTTTTTCTTCTTTTTTTTCTTTTTTTTTCCGCGGGGACCAAAAGGAAACAACCCAGATGGGAGGTTGGGCTGATCTGCTGATCTGCTGAGCCTTAGGTCTTGGACGCTTGCTGGAGACATAACCTAGCACCCTCCGAAAACCACTTCGTCATGACCCCTTGATTTTGGGTGACCCTTTTTGCAAGGCTGGAGATAGGGTATACACCATGATTCCTTGGTCCTGGAAGTGTTCCGGTGTTGGAAGTTAACTTCTTGAGGTCACCTCGTTGGGTCTGCGTGGGTTTTGTTTTTTGGCTGGTCTGATGGATCGCGAGGCGATTCGGAGGTCTGAAAAAGAATCACGCAGCATGATGTAAACCTCACTACCCATTGGTTCAACTCGGGCTTCAAAGTTGAAACCGTGGCTCTGGTTCCAGCCACGACACGAAAACTAAGAAGTTCAAACAAAATGAAAGCTTAGTTTGGGACATGTCAAATGAATTAGCCGCGGCAAAAAACATCAAGGGAGGGTTAAACGACATCCCCAAACTGCATGGAAGGTTACAAAAGAGAAGGAAGAAAACAAACACGATCAGGGAGGGTCATGTTAAATCTGCAGCGTACTCTCACAACCTATTCAAGCTCATTCCCATTGATCGCGGACTTTGCACATCCATGGTTAAAACGGCAGGCCACCTTTGGATGACCAAGCATCTCATCACAGTCCAAACCACCATAGCCACAGTTATGTAGAAAATCCCGCGTTCTGTATCCCGAAATAGGATTCCCATCCCCTTGACTACTTGTTCACTTCAAACAGGGTACCAGTACCTGGGTATCACAAAAGCTGGTCCGAAAATAATGTTTTCCACAACCCTAGCCCAAGGGTCCAACTCTGAGGATCTCTATACAAGGATCCTAGCTGTAATACGTCTTCTTTGGGGTTCGGTCTCATTAGTGGGTGAAGTCTTTGATCGGTTCCTCCCCACGAACAGATTTGGTGACCGTTTCCTGGGCACCCTAAGACTGCCTGGGCAATTTTAAGGCTCTCAAATAGCGCTGTGGTTGTCAAAACCAATGGGATCCCATTTTGGTAGGTGAATTCACCACCCATTTTAGAACCTATTTTAGTGGTTGGATTGGGATGGGGGAGAACCGGGCTTTTGACCCATGGTAGGCGTGGTACCTACACAACATGCGGGTCTTTGGAAACAGAAGACCACGTTCGGTTCGCTTCAACGGGAAACCAACAAGCACACCCATCTTCGGAGTCTTCCCATTCCCAGTTGCTTCTTAGGGACCCAGAAATAATCAAATAAAAGGAGATCACCTTTTGGGGCCACAAACAAAATGTGTGGATCAACACGTGGAACGCAAAAGGTCAACCTTCTGGGACCACTAGAAAAGTGGATTCAGGGGAAACTCCACAGGTCAGACCTCCCTTCGCTTCGCTCTCGCCAAAAACCGAACGATCAAATGGCTCTCGGCGCATGAAGTCGAATCATAGGTCCTCCAGAAAAATTAGACTAAGGGTACCAACCTTTTTCTGAGGTCTAGTCTAGTTGGGGAAGCCTCCCAACCAAAAAAGAAACGGGTGAGAAAGGGCACCAATTGCTGGGGGACCTAGAATGGCTGCGGCTCAGAAACATGCACCAAAATGGCACCTTGCTATACCTTGCTAAGTGGAGACAATGACTAAAACCCGCGGTAACCCCTGCGTTCTTTCAATTTGAGCCACGCCCGATTCGAGTTGAGTCGAATTCCGAGTCGAAGTCCGAGTCCGAGTCGGCGTCTCATCGAGTCCAAGGGGCGTGGGGTTCTGGAGCTTCAGGCGGTCACTGGCGATGCGATTCAGCGCCGTGTTGTCCAGCACCACCACGCAGTCCGCGTTCAGCGCCAGCCTCGCCGCTGGGGGGGGAGGGGGAGGGGGAGGGGGAGGGGGAAATGGCAACGCCCCCCCCCCCAAAAAAAAAAGGGCCGACAAACTGGATCTGGACAAGGAGAGAAACCGTACTTCCAGCAGGTGAAACTGTTGCTTGGCCATTTGAGTTTGTATCTTCACTGTCCAAAAACAACCTCCTACTAAAATTGAACGGAACCAAAAAACAAAATTAACCTAAACACATGGCAACAATGGTGAAGGTTGCCAATATGACTTGCATCATCAACAGCAACATGCTTCACAAACGGGTCACGAGACTCAGTCCGGATCGGAGAGAAACGGTGCTTTCAGTTACGGGTGCCATGGCCATGTCAAACCTGCAGGTACATGTTTAGCCAATTCTAGGCGACCGCACCCAACACTTCTACATTTGCAGTCTGACTAGCGGATCAAAGGCCCTTCAGATCGTTCGAAGGCCTTGTGGTTTCAACACCCCCACACAACGGCGCTGACGTGGGCGACCAGTCTGCACCGGCGGACTCAATCCTTGGGCGCCACACCTCCTACCCAGACGCTCCCGCTTAACTTGGGACCCTCAAACAGCCAGGTTTTGAGACCCCCAAACGCCGGGCACGGCTGGATGTCCAATGGAGTTGTCTGGATCTTGAAAGCCCTAGGTAGAGGACACCACAACCTTCGCGAATTGAAAGCTTTCGCAACAAATGCTAAAAGGACGTGTCAAAGGACGTGATGTCGCTACCCGAGTTGCTCTCTGTCAAGAAAACAGCTCTGGGTCCTGAAACCCTGAGTTTTTCCCTGGTTGCCCTATCACCGAAACCCCTTTTCTGGGGCCAGCTTGGCATAGCGTCGACAACAGACCGTGATGGATGCTGTTTCACACGTTGCGTTGCAGTTGGATAAATGTAGATGGCACAAAACGTATATTATTGTTGCTTTATCCATCCCCCTTACCGACAGAAAGGGAAGTGTGCCATGAGCTTTCGCCTTGTTGTCCAGAGATCCTAAGCGCAGCCATGTGAGCCACCTTCAAAAGTACCGCGTTTCCCGCCTAAAGGACGTGGGAAAATCATTGCATCCCCCAGTTGCGTGTTCTTGAATTTAGGGAGTTCGTAGCCATCCCCAAATGCAACGCAACCGACTGGCAATTGCACCACCAAACCTCATGCGGGTGTGTCTCCAAATAGTGGTACCCGCAAAATGGTTGATTTTTATTATGCTATTCCTTTAAAAGCAAGAGTTCCTCCCGAAAACAAGAGCTCCCGCCAAACATGTGGTTTTCCTTTTGGAGTCCCTTTAAAGCCAGCAAAAAAAGAGACCCATTCAAAAAGAGGAGATATCCACACGCTTTGCTTGGAGCACTTTTGAATGGCTGCCCAAAAGAAGCGCTGCCCCGCCTTTTCAGAGTGAGCACCTGGCGGGACGTCTATGCGAGTGAATTACCTGTGCGAAGGGAGGGGTGGGTGGGGGGTGTCAAAAATATGGCACGCTTTTGCACCCTGGCGCCGCCCAAGATGGTGCCTTTGAAATGGAATACTGGAAAGCGCCTGCATACTCCACCTGATTCTACCATTGACAATAACTCCAAAAGCGAACGAAGCATGGATAGTAAAGGACGTGCGTCATGGTGAGCTGGTGTTTGCCTGAATCGGCATGCTTGCCATGAAACAAACACGCGGGGTGATGTCATGTTTCCTGGTGAGGGAACCCGCCTTCTTCAAACAAGGACCCGTGGCTTGCAAGGCGTGGATTCCACTGGATGACAGAAAAAAAGGAAAAAAACAAAAAAAAACACGCCAAGTGTCCAAGCTGAAACACCCCTCAACTCCAAAGTTCGCGCCTAGCGATCCGGGCGAACATGGGGGACCAATCTAGAACTGGGCTAGAGATTTCCCCCCTCGGTTCGACCTGGCAGTCGCCTTGCGCAGACGCCTTTGGGAGCAACGCGATAAGTGTCGGGCAAAGTCGACGTGATCTACAGGTCCATCGGCCGGCTCCCTCCACGCCCACTGCCAAGTCTTCGTCCAACGCTTCCATCAACACGCCCTGGAGAAAAGAAATTTATCCTTACGACAATCAACCCCAAAAAGTATGCCTGGACCCCAAAATAATGGGATAACAGCCTTTTTTAAATGTAGTTTGGGTCCAGGTAGTTACTTTAAGAGGAACTTTCTGAGATCACGAGGAATTCATCCTGAGGCCGGCGTTGCACTTTCACAAACCCAAACGTGGAGTCAATCAAGCGGCTTCCGCGATTTACCAATTGCACGAGGAAGCGCCAAGCCAAAAAAAATGCGAGTAAGAGTCTGCTAACCTATTCTGGTCTCTGACCTAGTTGATCTAGTTGTTGGATCCCATATTTTCCGACCTCATTTCACTTGGAGACATCTGGCCACAAAGCCACGTTGAGCCAACCAGCGGGCCCTAAGTGAGTTGGTCTTACACAGCTCTCCCGGCCTGAAACAACTTCCTGAGTCCGAGCTTGCTTCACTGAGCTTGTATTCGCCATCAAGGCGCGCTTCTGACACTTGTAGCTTAGAAGCGCTTCTGTGAAAATGAATGGTACTTGTAACTTAGAAGCAAACTGAAACCAGTGGAACCCAGTGGAACCAGTCTACTCACATGTCTGAAGCACCTGGAAATCAAAGGTTAAACCTTGACTAAAAGCAGACCCAACAGGAAAAACCAGAAGCTTAAAAGGTCGATTCGCTTTGGGCAAGTGAGATCTTGAACCACGCCGACTTACAAAGGCCACCTACCTTTCATTTGGCTTAAGCCCCCTGTCAAAAAAAAAGAAGAAAAACAAATCCAGTAGTGAAATCGATTCCCTTTAAACCCAACAGGGGACAATGAAACATATTCTTAAACTAATGGAAGCTACGGAGGCCGCTCTGCTCTCTGCATCCCTTGATCGACAACTTTGCGGAGCGCCGAGTTGTACGGCTGCACCACCACGTCACTGGTCTCAGAGGACAGCATCGGAAACACCTCAGAAAAACCGCAGCATTCTGGGAGGTGTCGGTTCATTCTGTGCACACACTGCATGCCTTGCGGGAATGACTGAGTCCGGATGTTGAGAACGAATCTAGGGATTTCCCTGTTGAGAACCAGCAAGATGCTGTCAAGACGCCAAATAGTGTTGTACTTTCTTTTCTGCTCATGCGCGGCAAACACCATCTCTCAAGCTTTGCAAATGACTCCAAATGAGCCCCACAAAAACGGTCTTGTTCCCAAACAAGACCTAGGAGAACCATTTGGACCTCTGCCATGCTTTTTGCAAAACGTTTCAGGTCTCCCGGTGAGGCAAAGAAAGGCCTGCTGCTGCCAGGGCGCAGAATAGGTCCTGAGCAACTTCGATCAAGGAAGAAGTCGAGCCGCCGCCAGAAAGTCTATGTGCCAAACTGGAATATCTCTAAATTATTTGCTTTAAAGAATCGCCTTCATGTCTGCCTGTTGTTTTGCATTGAACTATTGTCGTCTCTTCCCGTAGTCATCCTGTAGTCTTCCGGTTAGTTCTCAGCTATCGTAGCGCAAAAGAGCTGCACAAAAAGAGATCCTTTCGTTTCAAAGACTTGCCTTCATTTTTGAGGGTTCAACCTACTCCACTTCAATACATATCCCTGGTACCATTTTTAGTGGAACCTCAGTTGAAATTGAAACACAACGCTCTGGGTCTGGGGAGACAACGCCATGATTGGAGTTTGACGCACTTATGGCATCCATTGTACGTTTCGTTGATTGTTTGTAATCAGTGAAACGCGTAAATTGTGTTCTATCTCTTTCCTAAGCTGACATGTAAATACGCCAGCTTTTGTCCAGTGAGGTCCCAGTGCGTAGTTTGTCACCCAACACTTGAAAGAACACCACCACTGGAGGTCTGGGGCAGGGTAGCAAACACCTCAACCTCATTCGCCGCATTTGGCCTTGCTCGGGTTGGTTCGGGCAAATCCCTGACCCCCAAAATCCCAAGACCGCTAAACCCTATGCTGGCCCCAGAAACCGCTCCAAGGACTCCTTGAGCCTCCATAAGCTCCCAACCCCACCCCTTACCTCCCAGACCCTTCCGTGGCCATGGGGGAAAGAGGGCGCCTCTTCTTTTGACCGATAACGGGACCCCCCTCCCAAGGGAAGCTTCTTTTATTTTTCCACTGGATGCAGGTGTGTGATCAAATTTGACCCCAAAATAATAAACCCTTCCTATTGATAGGGGTGTGCCCTAAACAACGATGCATGCAAGCGGACCACAATGATCTACCAATCTGGACCCTCAAAATGTCCTTAAAAAAATGGATTTCACCAGCAATAATTAGGGTCGCGCCTCATTTTGACGAGTAGTTTCCTCAGGTCCAGGGGAACGTTTTCTTCGTCCAGGGTTCCCATAGGCCTTATTGGCCAAACCAAAACGCTACCGAGGGGCTGCACCAACTTCTTGGGGTAGCGGTCGTTAATGGCCTCCAGCATGAAGGAGCCCATGCCTTGGTTGCAACGACCGACCCCTCTGCCAACAAGTGGTCTCCACTTGTGGGTGTAATCCGGAAAACACCCAAGAGATTTCAACCAAACTGTCCAAATCTATTTATGTTGCATGCTTCATCCGGAAAACCCCCCATGGATTTTGGTTTCACCTGTTGGTGGGTTTCATCCGGGACACGCAATGGATTTCATTCCCACAAAGTCTTCAAGTTTCAATATCCGCCCAATAGCAACTCACTAACTCAGATGCCCAGTGGCCATGGGGGAAAAGAATTGGAACCTTTTTTTGGCTGGAGTTTGAAGGGAGCCCTAGCCGAAAAAAGGTTTGGTTGGTTGAGTTTCAAGGAGTCGGAACCCTTGCCCAAAACAGCCGGAGAAAAAAAAGGGGGGGCGGACGCCGCTGGGCAGCTGGGCCAAAGTCCACGGGGAGTGCCACCGAGATGCCGCTGCCCGTGCCGCCGGCGATGGAGTGGATCAGCACGAAGCCCTCCTCGGCGCGAGTCGCGCGCGATGCGCGCGCGCGGGTGCCGAGGTGCAGAGGTCAGCTTCGCGCCCGGGACAGTCCCCGGGGGTTCAGTGACCACCACTAAAACAAGAGAGCGATAAAAAAAACACCGTATCATAAGAGTCACCAAACCAAACGCACGCTCAGGTTGCTCTGTAAAACCAGAGTCGTTATTTTGACGCTGTGTCCTGGAGGCTTTTCTTTGGGGGGGGGGGGGGGTTTGGAGAACTCCCGATGGTTTGGAGAATTTCGGATGGTTTCCAGCTTCTGATTCCATGGTTCGATCGCTTCCCCTTTGGAATGGTTGATCAGAACCACACTGAAAGTAGGGGAATGCAGCAAAATGTTCAACTAAACACACCGATCAAAAGGACACCTAACCTTCCCATTTCATTTAGATTGAAAAGGAACTGGGAAGCCCATCTATGTTCAAACCTAAAATGGACACCTATGCTCCCTGTCTATGCCCCAAATGCTTCAAACCTTTCTTTAAGACGAGGACTCACCCCACAGGGGAATTCTACAGTACTAGAGGGAGATTCCTGTATGTTTAGAAAACAAACGGGTCAACAAATAAGCTGTGGATTGCTGAAGCGGTTTTAACTATGATTTGTTAGCAACCCGCTCGGCATGCTTTGCCGACTCCTGGACCATCTGATTGGATCCATTCATGTGACATCCTCAACATTGTATTTGTTGTTTTTTTCAGACCTGTTTCGGGATGGGGGGGACACCTGTAGCATGGTGGTTGAACCGAAGAAAAGGCAGAAACACGTTGAGAATGGGGTGGCATCCCGAGATCTCCAACCACTTTTTGGGCCCAGTGCAAATACGCAATGGGGGAGGGGTTCATGAACCCAGTCAAAATAGTAAAGCTGGCTGAATAATTACACACAGATCCTCTCGTGGTCATATCCAAACTGTCCAAACTCCTCCCGCAAACCAAATTGGAGCCCCTAGGCGCTTGAGCTACAATAGTTTGGCCGGGCGCAAAATGGCACGGTTCGAAACGCCGAGCTGCCAAGCTGTCGCTGCCATCCGCCTCTCGGTCGACCATGTCAAACACCTCCTGGCTTGCCGAGGGGCCGACGGGAGCCCCAAGTTGGGCAGCCAACAGGAGGCCCCCAAGAAACCCAAAAGGGCCCAACCAAAATCAGATGTGCCCAAACCAAACAAACTATCCGAAAATGATTGAAACAGAACACATGCTGGCATGTTGTATAGAGGTTGAAAAGGTGATTTGCAGTTCTTTGTGCTTTACAGGCTCTTTTTCGCCCTGGTCTTTAAAAAGTTGAAAGTTGGCTTTGGGTTGGGTCAAACCAAACTAGCTGTGTGGGTTTCTACGGTTTCTTCGTGGCAGCTGTTGCGGGAGTGGCTGCAGGCGGTGGCTGCAGGCCTGCCCATGTTTATGGAAACCAAATCGCACCCATGTTTGTCACACGCATGACTTGAATCCCAGCATGTTTTAACTTCAATACAGGGTATGTTGACAAGACAGACCTGCAACATCATTTGCAACACTCTGCCTGTCTGCATTATGTCTCCCGAGTCATGGGGCGAAACCCCAGTCCACCTCGTTCCCACATTATGGGCGCGAAGCCGGCCGAAATCGTCGGCTGCGGCGTATTGTTTCTCTTTTGATCGCTTCATTCAGTCGTGTTTATCTCAGAAAGTTATGTTTCAACCGATGCCAGATCAACAAAGGTATATGGCACGGCGGGGGGCTTACCGTATCTGGGTTTACATTGGCAGGGCCCAGTTCATTCAGTCCGGAATCGCCATGGGACGCAGTCATCGCCGCGTTGGCAAAGGCTGCGGCAGCATGGTCTGCTCATTGGTCATGCACTTTCGCCTCATCTGACAAGATTGGGGCTAACTTGAGATCTTTGGGGGCAATGGTCTCTGCGCCGCGGCGACGGGCAGGAAGGTCGTTTGAAAACAGGTCTCCAGGTAGGTCTGCGCAGCCGTGGCAAGGGCTCGCTTGCATCTTCAGCAAAGCGCACTCGGTCAACGGCACTGGTGTCCGTGTCCTTGATGCCTTCCAGGGTAATCTGGAGCATCACGTGCACTTCCTTTTTCTTGATCACGGAAGTCGCCCAGAAGTCGCCCGGAATCAAGCCCGAAACAAGCAAGAAACAAAACAGGCACAAATGTCTTTCCACTCACGGCGTTACTGATTAGAAGGAATGTTGCCATGGAGCGATTTTATCACTCAGCTCAAAAGCCCGAATGTTCGGATTCACTGGTGCAGTGGTAGCAATTTGAAAAATGGCGCCAGCATGCAATACACTAAACCATCCAAGGCTTTCCACGTCACCCGAAATTGATGTTGAAGGGAAACCAGTAGGGATTGTCAACAGTGGAGAACTCCTTTTACATTGGTGTCTTAAGCAAAATTGGCCGCTTAAACTTGGGAAACCAAACAGGTTTGTCAGACCAGGGTTTCCAAGCATATATTGAACATGTACAGCTTGTCCCCCATGTCCCTCCCTATGAACCATAGACCAGTCTTGAACGAACTCCATCTAGTGGTAACCAACGGGCCTTGGCAACTGTTTGGACTTATGCCACATCACACCCACAAACTGAAAGATCCTGTTCACCTTCCGTCTACCTGAAATAGGGACCCTGGGTCCGATTGTGTTTGGTCACTTTCAGCTCGTCCAGAACCATGCGAAGAATGCCGGGAAAATCGAAATTAGATTTGCTTGGGCTGAGTTTAGCCAGGCCTAGACTCGGCGCATCCAAGGCTTATCTAAGGCTTATCTAAGGCTTATCCAAGATTATAAATCATCAAATCGGGGTCTCAAAAGGGCTTGTCCAGGTACGGGGGGTCTTGCCGTACCAGTGCAAATCTCCAGGAAAGTACATGAGCCTAAATTAGGCTTATTGTAGCTTAGACATGCGTACATGCCCCTTAAAAATGCTTACTGTAAATTCCCCTTAAGCCCCCTTAGAACAGCTTAGGCTAGTTCCCAAAACCTTCCCAATTAACTTCCCGGAGAATATCCCAGACATGTTTCTTTGATGTTCAGCAAAATCCTGGCGGGAAACCTGCCCAAAGGGTCTAAGTCTAAGTACCTCATAGTTGCAGAGTTGGGTTGGGGGAATCTGAAATTGACGAACCTCCTTGAACCAAAACCGATCTGGGCTGAGTCTGATGCAAACCGGAGATACGCCCCGGTGAGAGATGCTCAACATGGGCAAGCTTGCTTTACCCGCACACGTGCGGGTCAGATCTCAGATGGGCGTGTCCCAGATTGGACCCCCAAAATGGTGGCTTTCCCTGTGGTTTCCTACTACGGCCAACCCAAAGTGGTCCTCTTATTCGGCTTGGCGAATTACCCGCTTCGGTTCGGGGCCACAAAAATGGCATGCTCGGATTCTGTTTCAAATATTATATCGTGTCGGAGACGCTCCAAATGAGGTCGGCATGTGGCGATTTGGTTTGAGATAGTACCCCCTTCCTGAGTGGATTGGCCGAAAGTCCAAACTTGTTGCTTGCCACCAAATTCGTCTTCCGGAAAAACAGAAAGATCAGCACCTCTTTTGTGTGTCGGACTCTTCTGGCCCAAACAGTTTTGGGAAACTCCGGATTAATCAGCCCCTGGTTGATTTATGGGGGGGTGTCCCCTTTAAGTGGGACCGCTTTCGTGGGTGGCGCCTTGTCGACGCAGCGGGTTCTACTTATATCCGGGGTCAATATTCAGGCCCCGAGCCCTGAAGGGGGCATCGAAAGAACAGCAGCCACATCGTGCGGTCTCCTCCTGCACCTTCTCAGCCCCGCTGTAACCTGACGGGCGACTTGGACGCTTTTTGCTACCGAGTTCAAGCAGTTTGCATTTCCCACAACAGGAAGAATCCGCAGCTTGCAGGCTAGAAGCCGAGGGTGTTGAAAGTTTTAGCTTTAAGCACTGAAATGCACTCGCGCAAGTGCGCCCGCCCGCACGAAAACGCCCGAGCACTCACGCACTCACTCACGCACGCACGCACGCACGGTCACACCTGTGTGCATGCGTACTTTTGTGTGCGCCCTCCAGTGTTCAGGCTGGCCTTTTGCCCAGTTGTTGCCAGCGCCACCGCCGTCCTTGGAGATGAACACGTTCTCCGGATTGTAAAGCCTCAGGGCGGCCCGGGCGGTTTGAGATCCTGCTAAGCGCTAACTCATCGCTGGCCCTCTGCTTGCAAGGTTAGGCATCCCCCCTGCCAAACGCCGAGGGGCGGGGGGTCAACGCCATGCCGCTAGTCGTCCCCACAAAAAACAAACGGAGCCTTAGGTGGAATTCCGGAAGTTACTCCCTCGCCCAAATCCATTACTGGGGTAGGGGTGTGGAGCCCCAACATTGGCAGGAGTTCAAATTCCAGGTCTGCCACCCCCATCCAAAGCATCGCTCATATGTTTGGCTGCCGACACGACAACAGAAACTCCACGGTCAACCTCACCGGCTCAAAACCTTGACTTGATTAATGTTGACCCCGTATTAATAATCCCCCCCTATTAGTCCGGTCCGGGCGACCCCCCCCAATACTAAACAATTCATGACTCAGAAAATACCCCTCAAATGAATCAACAAATACCAAATTAAACCGGTCCCTCCCTGACAGATCTCAAAAGGAAGCCCCAGCAATACTAAATCAAATGGAAACTCAATTCCAGATCTCAAAAGGAAGCTCCAGCAATACTAAATCAAATGGAACTCAATTCCAGATTATTTAGGGGGGGGAGGCAAAAAAACTTTCCAAAATCTTGCACCCCAAAAACCTTCTGACCTTCAAGGGGGGGGGTTCATACTAATACGCGGTCAACATTACGCGTGGAGCAACACGACAAACCAAAAGCACAACAGTTCGGCCTTGGACAACTGAGCTACACTTCTGCAAATTGCCACGAAACCCAACAATGGGATCAACCGAGCTACATTTCTGCAAATTACTATATCAAACCCAACAATGGCAGAAAAGATGAGCTTGTGGGGTTCCACATTCCGGAGTGAGTTCTCCAGAAAAAATGCGTTG